CCCCACCCCGCCCCGCTCAGCCCCGCACTCGTGCGACAGCCGAGAGACACAATTTTTCAGGAAGGGACAACATATACATTCGGCCTCGGAATTCAAAATGTAAAAGGTTTTCTTTACCATTTGGCGTATAATAGGATGAATGCCATTTATGAACACGATATTCGATGCATGACGAGAAAGAACTTAGTAAGGAAGTAAAGTGAATTAGCTTCGTTTATAATATCGTGCGTGCTTAAGAACTTAAGTCTTAAGAACACAGTGAAACGTATAACTAGAATACAAACGGAATTGGAGGTAAGTCATTTTGGAAATCAGTTGTTTTATTACCCTTTTCCCATTGGCGGCTTCAGAATTACTAGGTTTTTCCCCCACATTGATTAAAAATTTTCCAGGAGAGCAATTTCAATGCGTAGAGGTCTCAAATAATGAAACGTAAAATGCAGTGACAGTTTGCTCATAGCAGATTTCCTACATGGCTAATTTGAACATCGTATTCACCAAAAATGTCTGGTAGAACCTTGAGTTTCTCAGGACACTCGTTACAACACCTGAACCCAATCCTCAATGTACTATTACACATCATTGACTTTACAATTCCAAAACTCCCGATCAAAAATACTCTCCTGTAATAGCATACGTGCGGGCAAAACCTACCTGTCAACATCAAAATATAACGTTTTCGCCTCATACGTAAATAAATGACCCCTCCCCCTTTATTTCCCACCAGATTTTACGCCAATCATTAAACACTAAGGTTGTAAATGCTTGTGATTCGTCAACACGCTCTGCCTCCCAGGACCGACAATAGACCAAGATTACCATGGGAGAATTTCTTGCGACTTTTTTCATTGGGTGCATCATCAGTATGACCTCAGGAGATGTGTAGAGATAATAGAAGAATACGAGGTAATAGAGGATTTCCTTATTTAATGCAATAAGCGCAAAACGCTTTGTTGTTCAGGTACACGATCGGGCAGTACGTGGACCAAGCGGGCGACGTCATCAGCCACCTGAACATCTCGAGCGTGCGCGTGCACGACGGAGGCCTGTACAGCTGCAGCGCTCAAAACAGCCTGGGAACCGTCGCCCACGAAGCTCGACTCAACATTTACGGTACGCTGTTTTCACCGTAGTCGTTTTCTTGAATTTGAATTGTCTTAATTCTATCAACAATCGTAACGGAAGTTCATTTCAACAACTTGTTTTGCTTTCAATGTCAGAATTTTTCTTTTGCAGTTTTGAAAGTTGTCGAATAGTGAAAACAAAGTAATGCACATGAATTTACCAGATATTAATTTCACGAACAGAAATTTACAATTAACAAATTAATTTTCGGAGTGAACGCAATATATAAAAATAGATCTATAAAATACGTAAATGTATTGAATTAAATGTGTTATAAAACAATGAAATATTCTATATTCATTATTTCAGGGACATCATTCTCCAAGCAGTGCTAACTTGTAATTAATATCGTTTGAAATAACATTCATCCAGTTTACATTTTAATGTGCTAACTACAACAGTTGTTCTGACGAAAAGAATTTGCATACAATGCAATTGCCAATGTAAATTGCTGTGCAGTTGGCAAATTTCAGTGAATTTGACAAGGCTCAATTCAGGGCGCTTCATCCCCACCAGGGCTCGAATTCTAATGACGTAAAAATTCTTTGAAAATGGCCTAATTTTTTAAAAAAATACTCAAAATAATTGTGTGAGAATTATTTATTCAATCAATTTTACAATTTTAAATAAAATGTGTTTACATAAAATTATATTTAATGTAAAGTCCTAATTTTTGGAGGAAATGTAATCCTTATCTCGGATCTTCCAACCGTTAGTTGTGACAAGTCGAGGAAGTTACCGAAGATTCGTGTAATTTTGATGGTTCGAAAAACAGATTCCCCTGCAGTAGTGAATTTCCTCATGAATTGATGATACAATAAAAACTTTTTTTAGTATGTCATTGTAAATTCATGAAATATTCGTCCAAAAAATACACGAAAATGGAAACAAAATGCGTAAAAATGATAAAACTGGCGTAAAGAAGTAAAACAATGCCTAAAAATTGAAAAACGGCCCAATAACTATACATGTCTATCATCTATTCGTCGTGATAAGTATTCATTTCCAATGTATTCTTGGCTATCCGGGATGAGCCGCGTCTCAGTTAATTGGACTGACGTTTCGGCCATCTAGCTGTGGCCTTCTTCAGAGCTATACTGCTGCTCTAAGCTGCTGCCAGCTCTAAGCTGGCATCCGAGCGCGGCGTGAGCGATGTGTATCCAGCGCCGCTGCGACGGCGTTGCGTGCGCAGGGCCGCCGTACGTGCGCGTGATCGAGCCGGTGCAGGCGGTGGCCGGGGCGCAGGTGACGCTGCGCTGCCCGTACGCGGGCCACCCGGTGGCCGCGGTGGGGTGGGAGCGCGCCGGCCAGTCGCTGCCGCCCGACCTGCGGCTGCGCGCGGCGCCCGGCGGCGCGCTGGTGATCGCGCGCGTGGAGCCGGCCGCCGACGCGGGCGCCTACACGTGCGTGGTGCGCGGCGCGGGCGGCGAGGCTGCGCGCAGGGACATCGAGCTGCGCGTCAACAGCCCGCCCGAGCTGCAGCCCTTCTTCTTCCCGGCCAACATCCAGGAGGGCGGGCGCGTGCAGGTCACGTGCTCCGTCTCCACCGGCGACCTGCCCATCCGCTTCTCCTGGCTCAAGGACGGCAAGGCCATCCCCTCCGCGCTGCAGGTAAAGCGACGCCCCCCGCCTGCCACGTCTCTCGCGCCGTTGTCTCAAGCGAAACGTCTTATGCGTAATGCTTTTTTTCCCCCCCACAGTAACCATGTGGAGAAGGGGAATTTATTCTCTTTACATTTTGTACATTGTACTGCTGCCTTGCGGCTTAAGGGGCCTTTTCTTATACCTAATTTTTCATTCTAGACCTAAAGTTAACATACTTGCACTTTGGCATTACTAACTTATACTAAGATCAGTTTTGTTATACTATATACTATGCTAGTTCTGAACGGAATTGAAGTAGTTCTCCCTCCCTGTGTGATGTTGTCCGCAAGCATGCACTTTTTTCTTTCTTAAGTTTTCTATTATTTTGTTTTTTCTTTCCCCTTTGATTAATTGAGTGCAAGCAGAATGAAGTCTCACAAACCGTCTGCTTAGAGGACGGAAATGAATTTTCTGAATAGTAAAAGTTATCATATAATTTATCAGTGGGATTTCATTTTTACGATAAGACAGGCAGCTTTGTTCGTCACTGAGTTCTTAATAAGTCTCCTAACTTTTATTACAAATTTAAATTTAATTTAATTGAAATATCAATATAATACAATGATGTAGGTTTTAATAATCGATATATTAAAATAGACTTTAATTGTAGATGTCCTTATCGTTCGTCATGAACGTGAACCTTTTATATCACATGGTTTTAATGTTTTCAATGATGCCTAACACGTTCACAGGTTCCCCTTTCCAAAATATTATTCGTCTTGTCTAATTTACGAATTTCTTTAAATTTGCGCCGTCCATTGTCAATGTTTCAATGTCCAATGTCAAAATTTTTGTTATTTAAAGTCCATCAACTTCTAGGTCATTAGCGACCACTATTGCGAGCAACGGTATGGCAACTGTTAGGATGACACGATATGATGATGATAGGGAGTGAAAGGACGAACACAATATAACCATGGCCGAGGCGGTTCTCGAACCCGCGATCCTTCGGTCCGATTTCGCTACGGCACTACTGCCTTAGCGATCTCGGCCATCCGGACCGGCATTGTTAATGTTGTATACGGTTAACGTATGGTGTCTAGAGATGCTTCGTGTTTCTGGAGTCTGCGAATCGCCCCGTTGCAGGTGGAGGAGCGGCTGGCCGGGGACTTCTTCAGCCTGCTGGTGTTCAACAGGGCCACGTCGGCGCACTCCGGCTCGTATACGTGCGTGGCTCGCAACAACGCCGCCAGTGTCAACCACACGGCGCAGCTGCTCGTCAAGGGTGAGGCGCCGCGCCGCAATCCAATACTCTCGTAAAATCAAGGGAAGGGCAGGCAGAGTCAGAGAAGTCAGCGGAGGCGGGAAAGAGTTGATTTTTCTCTATAGGTGAAAGATACTGTACATGAAGTCGTGGGCTTCCGCGGCCGGAGTCATGTACATGATCTCGGCTGTGCGAGTGACGCCGCGTCGAAGTCTGTGTCGCCGACGTTTCGACCATCTTGTCGTGGTCTTCCTCAGGGCTGGTCTTCACAGACCCGGAGAGCCAAGATCAGATACTGTACATGTTCGCTTTGTACTCTTGTCCAATCAAAAGAGACAAAGCTCTATAAAGCAAATAGCTGTTCCAAAAAGAGTTGTTCTCACATTACCTGCCAACACATTCAGACTCTCGACACAATTGCAGGAAAAACCGGTGCACTTAAGTATCTTTAAATTTTCGTATTGGGTTCTTCTGTCCTTTCCTTTATATGAATTACGCTTCACATTCGGAAATCAATGCAATATTTTGAAACAGAATTAACGTTTGAAGTTTTCCATTCCACTCAGACGTCAAAGACTGAATGATCTTCTGTTTTTATAAATAAGCGCAAACTAGAATCAACCAATGACGTGCGGTGCAGACATCACAGCACTCTAAGAAGCCTGCAACGAAGACACTAGTTTCGCTTCCGTTGCCACCTATAAGCACAATGGTATCTAAGAAATGTTATTTAATTTGTACTGGTGTGAACCCGTCAAAATATGTCGGTGAGATCTAAGATAAATGTGAAATGGTGTGTCAGTAAGTAGTCATTATATTCTATAAACAACTGTTTCATTTCTTCTAGCATGTGCTCAAGGCAAACATATTTTTCTATTTAAGCAACAGAATAAAACTAGTTTGCAAAATTTCTCTCAAATGAAAAGTACAAAGCAGAACAAAAAATGACATTCCAGACGACCATTCCACACACAAAAACAGAAATCGAAATGACTTCGCTATCACGACATCTGCGATGACTTTCTCTTAGCCTGAGTCCAGTTAATGTCCAGTGAGAGCGTAGGCTCCCGCGGCCGGTGTCAGTATTTAATTGGCTGTGCGGGTGACGTCGCGTCCGTGGCGAAGGTGGCGACGTAATGCGCTGAGGAAGGTCACAGAATGGCGACCGAAACATCGGCACCTTTGACATGGACGCGGCGTCACCCGGACAGCCAATTAAATACAGTTAATGTCCGTTTCCCTCTATTGGGACGGGTTTGGACGAATATTCGGCTAGGGGAATATTCGGCTTGGACGAATTCGGATTACGACACAAACTTTCATTCAAAAGAAAACTAAATACAATCGGTTCAGTAGAAGCTCTATAAGTTTTTAAATGTATAGTTTCGCTGTTATTCCGTGGAAGCTCATTTGGGAGGCTAACGCAGCGGGGCGAACTTTCGCAGTGGCCCCGCGGTGGCTGACGGAGCCGCAGGACGCGGCGGCCCTGGCCGGGGGCTCCGTGGCGCTGCACTGTCAGGCCAAGGGATTCCCCGAGCCCCACCTCACCTGGATGCGTAGGGGTGAGTAAGCGCCTGCCATTCACCAGCCTCTTGACCCTCAACGGCAACGAACGCTGCGTCCTCAACAAAACAGTTATATTTGTATAAGTGAAAGTTTTTTGTAGCTTATTTGCTTCGCTATCAGCATATTATTTTCACTCAAAAATACTAACAAAGGGTTTGTACGAAATGTCACACTTATACCTGAAAGATTTGGTTTTCAAATTTGAACATTTCTATTTTATTGTCATTGGGTTTTGATTACACAGTGCAACAAATTTGAACTTTGTGTCTTGCCGCAAGATGAAAGTACGGGTTCTTTACTAAATGGTATACACTGATTACGAAAATAAAATCAGAAATGGTCCATCATGTACCAATGTTTCTGGAAAAGATACCCCACATATATCACTTTCAAGAAACTTGGAAACGACTCGGTAACAATACAGTAGGAATTTGTACTTGATTTAATATACAGATCCTGTAACAAAAATTGTTTTATTACAAAAGTTGTTTGTGTTTAAATTGTTTACACGATTAAGTGTTTGAATTACAAAACATAAATGAAAATTACCACGAGCCGCCTCTGCTTGAATGAGATGACGAAAACAAAGAAAACAAAAATCCAATGTCTAACAGTAGTGCGTATTGTAAATACTACTTTCCCCACTCCCGAAGCTTTTCGCGTCCGCCCCTGCCCCTCCCCTTCCAACACATTGCATCAATGTTGCAGACCACTCGTCGGCCGAGTACCAGCCGCTGGAGCCGGGCGCGGGCGCGGCGCCGGTCGCCAACGGCAGCCTCATCTTCGAGGCCGTGGCGCCCGCGGACGAGGGCTACTACCTCTGCCGCGCCGACAACGGCATCGGCCCCGGCCTCAGCAAGGGCGTGCAGCTCGCCGTCAATGGTGAGCGCGCGTCTCGCTCGACTCGGCTGCGCCGTGGATGCGCTTGCGATGCAGAAAAGAACTAAGGGAAGATCGATGTGGTGGACGTCTGGCACTTGCTGGTTTCTTCTCTAAACGGGCGTTTTAAATTGATGGTCCGCGATATCTTACAGACTTTTTCAGCTATAATGAAATGGGTAGAAAAGAAATCATTATTTCACGATTTTGAAATCGAGGGGTAAACGAGGCTACATTTCTATCCCAAAATCGTCATAAATCACCCTCGCTGCGTCGTGCAGTGTCGATGATTTAAAATACAGTAAAGCAATAATAGTTATCATTAACTATAAACCTATTATAATTTAACAATAATCAAACTGGGAGAGATGTCTCAGGGCATCAACTGATGACACTGCAGTTCCTCTGACCGGGAGGTTCTAGGTTCGAGTCCCGATGATGGCTGGATTGTCAGCTAGGTCGAATTCAGTCGCTATTTGGAGGAGAATTCTAGCGGCTGACTGCTCTAATCAGTAGTTTTCAGCCGTTTCTCCGATCATCACCAGGCAAATGCAGGAGCAGTACCCTACCAAACGGGCCACGGATCGTGCCCGATCTTTACTATCTCTTCCTTGTCCTATTCTCTCCCCTTACAGTCACACCAACACGCACTACACAAGCACACATGACGGAGGACCGGTCGGGAGCTTAGAGCTTGTCCCGGCTGGGGCGGTGCCCCGCTGTTGGGCGATACCTGGTTGGGGATAACCCCGCTAACCAAATGTTGGTCGGCGCTGGATCTCGCCATATAGCGAAGGAAAAGATCACCGCCACCTCCCGAGCAAAAACACGCACTACACTTACGGGACGAACGATCCTGTTAGTTGTCCGGAATCACTAAAAGAAGCAATCAATGAACAATAATCAAATATATATTTATTATAGTTTAAAACAATCCTACCAATTAGTAGTAAGTATTTTACAATTACTACTCTCTCCATACTAGTTTCTAAAAAAACATGTTTTTGAGGTCATAATTAAATGTTTTAAAAAAACATTGCAATAAGACTTGAGATATTGAAGCAGATGAACGCCCCTAAAATGTATTCCACCCAGTCAACATGACGTTTGCCGTTGGAGTACTCACCGCCGCTTGGCGCGTGCGCGTGCGCAGAGCCCGTGCGCTTCGACGCGCCGTCGCGCAACGTGACGGCGCGGCGCGGGCAGTCGGTGACGCTCACGTGCAACGTGCTGGGCGACCACCCCATCCAAGTGGACTGGCACTTCAACGGGCAGCGCATCCACCGCAGCTACAGGTGGGAGCACGCCAGGTGGGGGCACGCCCGGCGCGCAGCGCCTGCGACTCGCACACGCTCACGCACACGCTCACGCACGCGCTCACGCACACGCTCACGCTCACGCACACGCACACGCTCATGCACACGCACACGCTCACGCACACGCACACGCACACGCACACGCTCACGCACGCGCTCACGCACACGCTCACGCACGCGCTCACGCACACGCACCCGCTCACGCACACGCTCACGCTCACGCACACGCTCACGCACTCGGCGGCCGCAGCCGCGTCTCTCGCGACGAGAATGCCAATAATTTAGATTTAGGTGTATTTAATCAAAAACAGTAAAAGCTAGCGGTGGCGATGGTGTAACGGTTAGCGTATTGAACTGGTATACCCAAGTAGGTAGGCCTAATGGCCTGAGTCTCGCCACGTAAAATAAGGCATTAATTCAATTCAATTCAAGTAGGCGGGTTCAAACCCGATCGCCGTGGATTTTTAAGGGCGAAAATATCCTTCGTACGCCTTCCTTCGGAGGGGAAGTAAAGCCGGCTGAAGATCCTCAAGCCTAAATGACGCCTCTGAGCTAAATTCAAAATCGCCTGTTTCTCGCCCAAGAAATGACTCCTTTCTCTGCTAGTTGGTAAAAGGAGCGTAACGAAATTGACGTGATGAGACGGAAGAGCGGGCCTGTTGGCCCGAGTCTCGCCACGTAAAATAAGGCTCATATTCAAATTCAAAAACTGTATATGACGTATGGGGGAGAAGATCATCTGCGCACGTTGTGTTTTGTTGTTTTTTTTAGTTCCAGAATCTCTTCCCATCATTTTAACTATAAATTGTTGAAAGATGAGTAAATGTTTAAAATAAATAAAATTAAATTTTAAAAAAGCGCGAGATTAGCAGTATTTGAAAAAAATAAGACACTTTCTTTCCCGAGTTATATAAAACGTATTTACAACGGTAAACGAATTGCGGGTATGATTTTTTTTGCATTGCTAACAAAATAGTAACTCGCCTTAACCTCTATTCCTACCATTACAAGCAAAAGGAATATTCAACAAAATGTGCGCATAGTGAAGCTATATGTACGTCCAGATGGAAAACAAGGGAACATCTCAGCATTTGCTCAATGGATCAGGGAAACTCGACAAAAACCGGATCGAGATGGGGGTCATTGACCCGGAAGCTGAAGTACATTATTTGTTACAAACATATTGTCTTTTTTTTTAATTATACAATTCGGTTAGAGGGACATGTTTTATTAGTAGTAGTAGTAATGCATAGATCGCATGTGATCCATCTAAGAGGATATTCAAAGCAGTTAACGGATGCCAGCATCTTTTTCGACCCAGGCTTCCTTGAAACCTTCCTCCGACACGGGTCTAAGGACCTTTCCAGCAGGCGCGCCTCCCGGGGGTGTGACCCCTGATGCGCCTGGGGGTGTGACTCTCGCTTTCTCCGCCAGATGTCTGCCTCAGTTAATTATAACCGAGCTATATGATTAGGAGAAAGTGAGATCTCGTTACGGCGGGATATTGTCAGAGGGATTTAATTTGTCAGGGTTCTTTTATGTGTTGCAAGAGTGACATGTCTTCAATGAGTTGTCAGCCTTTCGCAAATTCACGCATCTCGGCCGGAATCGAACACTCGCACATCTTTCTGCTCGTAAAATCTAATGATGATTTGCTCGAACTTTCAGAGATATTAGTTATGAAAACCTTGATAAAATAAAGTAAAAAATACTACTTTTGAATTGATCAGCGATAAAAAAACATTTAAACATCATGCGTAACTCTCTTAGAAGCTGTTGTTGAGATATCACGTTCAAATAAGAATACCAACCAATACTGAATAATTTTCTACAAATCTGAAGGAGTTAGGAAAACTTTTGCTTGTTTTATGCCCAAATGGCAACAGAAAAATCAACATTGTAATCATGCATCTTGATTTTTTTTTCAAGTGCATTCTTGATTAATTACATCCAGAATTATTAGGAGAGAAGGTGTCCAAAACATAAAACTACAAAAAACAATACATATGCCAATTAATTGATTAATAATTTTGTGCAGAATCTCGTTGTCGGACGCAAAGTCAGAGGCCGGATTGCGGTCGGAGTTGGCTATCGAGAGAGCCGACCGTCAAGACTCCGGCGTCTACGTCTGCCAAGCAGGCAACGTGTTTGGTCACAGTAAAATGGCCATCCACCTAGCAGTGCAAGGTAACCACTGTATGCACATTTACGAACCTAACATTTATATCTTGATTCTGAAAGTGTTCTGTCTCTTTTTATTCAATATAGCACTGGGTAAGAATAGTTTTAAATCTTATTGTCACCATCAAACAGTAGTGTATTGCAGTTCAAAATAATAGTCGTTGAGTTGTATTCTGAAAATTGATTAAACGAAAAAAAAACCAGACACCAGTAGACGTTTGCTTCTGAGGTCCTGAGAGCCCCGAACGTTCTAAAAAACATGTATGTACTTCTGATCTCTCGCTATTCACAAGGTGCACATATGTTTTTTTCTGAGGAATTGCCGATCGTTCTGGACTCTCAAGAACTCTGAAGCAGATGTATATACAAAAGTATACAGGACATGTACAAAGAGTGTCAGGAGTGTCTCACCAACAATGGGTCACCCTCGTAACTTCTAAACGGTTCACAATATCCTAATGCAATTTTTATTTAACCATGCGGAATCATGGGGCAAGTAATACGCCTTAAAGATATTGTTTGTAATCGTTTTATTTTTCTTTAAGTTTAATCTTTTTTTTAACTTTAAATACCATTTCGATATCGTGAACCATTTAAAAGTTTTGAGGATATCTCATTCCGGACTCTCAAGAACTCTCAAGCAGAAGTTTACAGATGTATATTCAAAAGTATACAGTCTAAGTACAAAGAGTATCACGAGTGTCCCACCAACTATGGGTCACCCTCGTAACTTCTAAACGGTTCACAATATCCGAATGCAATTTTCATTTAACCATGCGGAATCATAGAGCAAGTAACCATTTAAAAGTTTTGAGGGTATCTCATTCTGGACTCTCAAGCAGAAGTATACAGATGTATGTACGCAAGTGGCAAAAAGGTTTCACAGAGCGAGTGATGCGCGCGTTGCCGTTCAGAGCCCCCGGACCCGCCGCTGGAGGTGGAGGTGGTGGAGGTGAGCAGCCGCGCGGTGCGCCTGGCGTGGAGGCCGCCGTTTGACGGCCACAGTGCGCTGCTGGGCTACCTGCTGCAGTACAAGCCCGCCATGTCGCGGCCCGACGACTGGCAGCACGGCAGCGCCGCCAACCTCTCGGTGCTGGCCACCGACAGCGGGCTCGCGGGCACGGGGTGAGGCTACCCGCACGGCCCATTTCGGACGAATCGATCAGTTAACGAGTACTCTGTCGGTGATGAATTCACCAATTCACGGCTAGAGAATTCAGGATTGATTATTTATTTATCTTTGCACAATATCATTACATTTTGTAAGCCATTTTGGACGAGATTTTACTGTTCTTTAATAATCTTAAAATAATATTTTCGCTCTACTATGAGGAAACCGAAAAATTTAGAAAAAAAATTAAAAAATGTGCTTTGGGCGGCGATAGATGGCAGCTGGCAAGAGTATGTGACAAGTCGAAATAGCTAACCGAGACCAAAGGAAATAGAAAACTAATATGGGAAAGTATGTGCCATTTTGTAGCACCACTACTTTTTTTTCCTGTTGAAAACACTTTTGCTGGTTCATGTAGAAAAAGAATGTTGTGGAGCCCTTACAAATAATGCGAGAAAGTAATTGCTGTTGTAGCACCACTAGTTCAGATCATGCAGTGAGTGATTTTGATGATAGCATTATCTGTAGTAGACCTGCCTCATAAGCTTAGTACACTTGGTTGGAGGATAGGTTCAATGTTGAAAGCAATTTATTGACTTCCTCTTGGATCAATGTTGTAACAATCAAGTCTTCACTCAAAATTCATCTTCAGCTGTCTCATGCCGTGTCTCCTACCTTTCTAATGAAGTTTGCCATATTAAGGAAACATGGAAAACTTATGAAAAAAAGCATAGAGACTCTCTGAAGGGTTTAAAGAGCAACAGAGTTGTGCCAGACCATTAGTAATATTATTTACCTGTTTAAAAAAATATTGAAAAAGAGTAAAAAACGTTTATTCATTCTACAGATCAAAGGTAGTGGTAAAGTGAAGATGAAAACCTAAACTACTTTGTTTTCTTTAAAAAAAAACATTCATTTTTTTTCTTGTTTTTAATGGGTTTATACGTCTCAAAGAAGCATTTATTCCTTGGGTCCACTGTTTCCACTTGGCATAAAAATGGGAGAGGCAGCAGTTTAACTCAATTCTCAACATTTGTCTAGTTATATTTTCTTGTGTTTTATAAGTGTTACACTTGCAAAGTAAAACAGGAGTAATGTGTATATTTGTTTTTAATAGCAAAATATATACAAACACATATCATTAAATGTCATCTGCTGATAACAAAATACAAAAATTTTTGTTCAAGTCGATTTTCAAGTATTTAAGAGAATCAAAACAGTGTCCACCCTAGATGGTATTTACAATACAAGATTAGTTTTACAAAAATTTCCACACTTTCCTTAACAATACCATCCACACACTAGATGGTATTATTAAAAATTATCTGTTTTCAGAATTGAAGCTCCACGAAGTGCTGTTATTGGAGGTCTTCATCCAGCAACTACCTATCATGTTCGAATGTTGGCCATCAATGGCATTGAACCTAGTGCCTTCACAGAACCAATTGCAGTCAAGACTCAAGAGGAAGGTATGCTAATTGAAAATGAATAAGTTATAATAAATAATTGACTTTTCATTCATTTTTTGACATTATCTAAATACAATATAGTTGCTTATGTAACAACTCCTCTAAATTAGTCTTTAAGAACGAGGCCAGAAGATTAACTGTGAGATCACGGGCCTGAATAGTTATCTTCTGGTCGAGTCCTTAAGGACTAATAGAGGACATATTACATACTATGATTTTTGTTATTTCTAGTTATTCTCGTTATTCATAATCATTTCATTCATAACATTTCACACTCTCATAAGTTAAAAATTGTCATCACTTTCGATGTTCTGTCGAAAGGATTGCTGGTACAGGGTCTTGGTACAGTTCTTATATAATAAATGCTGTGCGCAGAAAGGCCATGAAGACAAAACGGAACAAGTGGGGGCAAGTGAGCAGCAAAGCAAGCAAGCAAGTGAGCTGTAAAGCAGGGAAAGGAGGACAAAAAGGGCATGTGTACAAATTGGGTCAATAGAGACAAAAGAGACAAAATTGGATAAGGGGAAGAACGGAACAAATTGGGAAAAGAGGAACCAACCAATTGGACAATGCAAATGTGGCAAGGGGAACAAGTGCCAAAATGGGACCAGGGGACAAAAGGAACAAAATGGAACAAAGGAGACAAATGGGACAAGTGAACAAACAGGATAAGGGGACAAAACAGAACCACGGGACAAAGCGGGCCAATGGGCTTTGGGCAAATGGAACAAGGGACAAAATGGGACAAACGTGACAAGGCAGATGTCAGGGCAAATGGGACGAGGGAACAAAATAAGCCAAGCGGGTAAATGGAAAAGGGGACAAAGAGACAAAACCCGAGAGTCTGCTAAAATATTTTTAATAGACTCTTGAGAATTTTAGCGGCCATTGCTATGAACACGCTCTTAAAGCATAGCTTAGATGGTTGATTACTAAGGAGCAAAGTGCTTGTTTACTGACAAACAGAACAAAAAGTAATAAATGAAATACCTAGTAGCTGTATATGTAGCCTGCAAAGTGAAAATATTTTGATAGAATCACAAAGACAACTTCAATTGCAAATTTTAGAATTTAATTCAAAAGTCTCATTTCTCCATCAAAAATGTTTTTAATTTCCAATGACTGAAATTGCCTGATTGGCAACGAAGAATACGAAGCATGAAATTTCTTTTTCTTTGTTCAATATAAACAACAATCTAATGAGAAAAATTTCATTATGATAGAATGACGTACCTAAATCATTATCATCATCATGTCATTGATACTATTTCTTTGTGGTTATTCATTGTAAGCTACCTTTCACAAACATATAGGTATCCCACCTAATATTTATGAAACATTATTATATTTAAAACTTATCATCATATCCCGTTTGTATTAAATTCTTAATTCGTATCTTATTTATCCATTTCCAATTATATCCATTAGAATGCTACTCTCTTAATTTTAAGAAATTCAATCATTGTATTTCTTTAAATTAAATGCTGAAAATTATTCTTCTGCATTTAATTTCCTATTTTCTATTCTTCTTTTGTTGTATCCTCACTTTTTACAAACATTATCTTGAATTTGATTATAAATAGTGGCTCTCAATCTTTTCGTGACCAATATAAAAAATAATAATTTAGAAATAATTTAAATGTAACTGTGATTCAATCTGAATTGAAATGCAGCAGAAACATACAACTTCTTTATAATTAAATTAAGGCTTTTGTTTTATTTCCAACAGCTCCTATTGGTGCTCCCCTAGAAGTTCGAGTGGAGACTCTTAGTCCAGAGGAATTGCTTGTGTCATGGAAGGTAAATAAAAATAATTCACCTCATCAACAAAAACATACTCAGTGATAAAAATGTTATTGCCAATCTCCTTTTTCTTAAAAAATACAAAAATAAATACATATAAAAACCTTAATTAACTTGTTTTGTTTTTTCAAAATAACATGAAAGAAAAAAATTACCGTATTTGCTTGTTTTAAACCACCCTTTTTTTCCCAAGAAGTAACTGGTGAAAATGGGGTGCAGCTTATACAAAAGATTTTTCTTTAAAAAAGAGCATTGTAAGAAAAAGAAAATTTAGGTCAAGTATCCAATTATCCAGAAGAAGAGTCCCGGTCAAAGCAAAAATGATCAGTATAGAAAAACGAATGTGAGGCAGGCGAGCACAAGCATGAGGCAGGCGAGGAGCAAAACAGAACCGACTAAACGGAACTATAATGGCAGGATGTCTGCTTCGAAAGCCAGGTGCAGATCACATGGTATCACATTATCACATGGACTCAGGTGTTCTCAGCATTGAAAGTAACAGTGTTGTGCTCTGATGGATGCGCAGAAACAGCCAATGAAATTTTGCAGGGACTCCCCCCTCCAATTTCACATTAAGGATTTACCTTTTTTTAAAATACATATTTTTATTATACAATTTACTGAGTAACATCGAATTATGCAGGGCGGCATATAAACAAGATTTTTTTTTCAAATTATTGTGGCAAAGGTCACTAATGCGGATTAAACATGGACGTGGCCTATACACGAGCAAATACGGTATTTGCCAACTATTAGGCAGTGTCATTAATTCAGAGATGATTATTTGGGACATTCCTAAACAAATTAATACACATTATTTATTTTTGGAATCATTTTATGTTCAGGTACTCTATTAATGATTGTAATTTTCTAAGCATCTTTCAATACAATAGAATTTTTACTCTTCACATTGTACCCTTCTTTTATTTCTTGATTTTTAAATATTACAATATTGAATGAATATCAATTGAAGCTAAAAATTTAATTTGTATTGTCATCTTTATTGTAATTTACCCTCCATATCATTATGAGCCAGTTCAAAAAAGTATATTTTTTACATATATTATTTTTCCTTTTCATTGATGTTTTGAAATTTTATTTTTTTGTTTTTGAAGTTATATTAACATTCTTAAAATAATACCAGTTCATTTTATAGCCTCCATCATCTGAGTCCTGGAATGGGGACTTGCTAGGATATACCGTGGAATGGGTTGTACATGGTGCAGCACCTGGGGATACTAATAAGAGCAGTTCTCACACAGTATGTAGAATTGTGTACAAAGTTTTGAATGATCCTATCAGTAAATATGAAATTTGCTAAGAACTGATTTTAATTCTTTATATTGACAGGTACGGGGTCTAGCTGCCACAGAGCTGAGACTCACTGATTTGCGCAAATTTACTCGCTATGATGTTACAGTAAGAGCCTTCAATAGTGTTGGTTCTGGTCCCCGGTCTCCACCAATAACTGCAACTACACAAGAAGGAGGTAAATATTTTTAAGTTTAATTATTATTGATAATCATTTAAGTAAGTTATGCTTGCTTCTTCTGTGAAGAAGAATCTTTATTTGTAAGTAGGTACATTACAAAATTTGTTAAAGTTTTGATCTATTCTAGGGATGAGTTGCCCAAACTGAAAACTTTTTTCTCATTTCTTTTAGTTCCTGAAGCCTCTCCTCAAAATGTTACTTGTTCTGCTCTTTCATCACAAAGTGTGAAAGTTGGTTGGACTCCACCACCTGCTGCACAGCATGGAGGTATCATTCAGGGCTACAAAGTTGTCTATCGACCAGTTCTGTTGGATCGTTGTAAGTAGTTTTAAAGTTAAATGTCCTCAGAATTTTTTCTTCATTTTTTTAACATTAATAACTCTCAACTGAGAATAAGCTGCAGAAAATGTTCCCTCTTCAAATGTCTTTATTTACTTAATTTATAAGCAACAGTATGCAGATTATGCCTGAATTGCAGGCAGCAATACCTATTTCATAGTTAACTGATGGTATAGAAGTTGACTGATGTATATCAAGGCAAACATTAAGGAAACTCTTCTTTTAGCTTTTGTATGACAGAAATTCGATTTTGAAGTCTTCAGTATATTCTTCATAGTATTCGCAGATGAACAAGAGTTTTAATGGTAGAAAAAGTAGAACAATTATGTTTGTGACCTTTTATGGTACTTTTCATAGAAGTTGTAAGAAAAGTAATTCTTCTTGATTCATGTTTTCTGTGCTTAAAAATCAATCAAAAACTAATAATAGGGAACTAATGGATATGCCTATACTCTTTTCACATTGGAATGCAAAATAGGAAAGCTTTTCTACGCATCCTACAAGATTCACTTCCCTTGACATTGACATTTTCACACCTTCATCATGTTGTTTGATAATTAAAGATTTCACATTCTTTTATCATCTTCCTTGTCTGCTTTCAAACTATATGGTTTAATTAAAACTTCCCTGAAAGTAACAGGGAAAATGTAAGGTCTCAAAAGCTGCAAAAATTGCCTCCTTGGATTTGCAATGGCCACTCTGTAGTAACACCTCTCTACATAATACATGATGGCTGTTTTCACCTCTTATGAAGCACAGCCAAAAATACTAATTTTTAAAGAATTGCCCTTACCTTTACACTTTCAACTTTTTCACAGACCACCAGTTGGGAACCACTGTATTTAATTAACAAAGGTCTCTCTTCAAAGTAGAAAGAAATTTGATTTGCAGTGGGCTATTTTGACACTCAGAGTCTTTTCCTTCAGTAGTTATCATATTCTTAGTTTCTTACATCAGAACCAAACCTACATTATGCACTCATAGGTTATTCATGCACTCATATTATTAAAATGTATTTACATATTTTTCCTAGAGATGAGTGTTTGAAATATTTTATTAAATTTATATTATTTTCATCTTTTGTTTCAGCGGCATTATTTGTAGCAGGCAGTGAAGTGAAACGTACCTCAAGTTTGGAAACATATCTACATGGTCTTCTGAAATACACCAACTACTCTGTAAGATTGCTGGCATATACCAGTGTAGGTGATGGTGCCATATCTGATCCAGTGTATTGCACTACTGAACAAGATGGTAATCTAATTACATGCAGTTCATTAATTAATATACTATTGTTACCTGAAATGACAATTGAGAAATTTACATATTCTCTCATTTACTTTTTTCCTTCTTTCTTCCTAATTAGGTGGTTTTGTTAAAAAGTAAAATGCATTACAATAATTTGCTTATTAAATAATAATGTAATACTGACACAAATTTTGTAGTTCCAGGCCCACCTGCAGCTATTAAAGCTTTAGCACTTACTTCAGATTCTATATTAGTTTCATGGAGACCGCCAGAACAACCTAATGGAGTTATTGTGCAGTACACGGTCTATGTGAATGAAGTTGGTCATGTTGACAAGGTAAGTTTATATTTCCATGTTTCAGTAGAATCCCCTCAGAAAATGTATATTACATATATTCAGTATTTGAGTACTTCTATGCTGTAATTTTATCTGATGGAAGTTTTGGAATATTAATAAATATTTGTTTCTCCATCTTTAATTAATAATTATCAAAAAAAAGGAGAAGTATTACATTATTAGAGAATCTTAAAGCTAGTAATTAATGAATTAGTATTCAGAGAAATATTTCAAACTGAATATATTGCTAAAAAGAAACTCGTTATCATGTATTCACAATGAAAATGAATTATGAATAAGATGGAAATGAAAATACAATTCCATAAAATTAATTTTATAAAGTAATTCATGTAACCGCTGTCAACAGCCTATCAGTTTCCCAGTACGCCTAGCTGTTGGAGCTGATACAGTGTTTGAAGTGCGTTCATTAGTGGAACAACAGCGTTACGAATTCTGGGTGACTGCATCTACTACTATGGGAGAAGGTGATGGAATTCATCCAGTTATTCAGGCTCCAAATTCAAGAGGTGAGGCACATTAGTGTGAACGAGATCAAAATTTTTTATTTTATTTGTCTGAGAACCATCCCAATGCCATAATTGAAATTATTCTTTAACATCGGAAATCCCAAATTTATTTTTTTTCTTTGTTAACATGTACTTGATTCATTTGAAGTTCATATTGAAAGAGAAATTAGAGAAAATGGAATTGTTGATTAGGACTTCAATATTTCATATAAATGCATAAAAAGGAATTATTATAATTATTTCAATTCTATCACTTTCTTTCATCGCATTTTCTTTTCTTACTTCTTGGGTTGCAACAGAATTATGTAAAATAATGTCATGGATTTTTTTTCCCCCCAGCCCTTACAAAACAACCAACACTCAAAATGCACCTTGTAATAATCCAGCAATACATTAAAACTCCATAGCATGACAAAATCAAACTGGTAGTCAGCAGCACCATAGCACAAATGTATCAAAATGGTTGCACTACTCAAAACTGCGTTATTAAACTAGTGCTGCTGTAGAAAAGCACAGACTTCTCATCCTCATTAGTTTCCTATTATCTTAAGCCTGGCCTAGCTTTTCCGTACATCCCCACCTTCTTCCCAGCTTCTACCTAGCATAACCTGAACGACATTTTCTCAGGATATATATCCTCAATATTGCAGTCCTCTAATCGTAGAATTAAAATTTTACTTTAAGAAAATTACAGACAAGTAAAACCAAGTCCTATAAGCAAATTTTTATTGACATGTTTGGTACTGTATTTAAGAAAAGATCATTTTAACATAATTTTAAGCTTATTTTCACAAAAAATTGAGTTTTTGAGAAACATAATGAGAGATCATTTCAAGCACTTTTTCTCACATGACCAGTAATGTTAAAAAAGACAATTGCAATTTAAACATTGACAACATGAGAGATATTTTAAAAAAAAATACATTTGTGTAATTTTTGAAAAAGCAAAAGAATACTTCAGAATGGCGTTTATGTCACGTTACACAGAGTATGTATTATTAACTGTAGAAAAAGTTCAAAGGAAAAAGTTCAGTTCTTTTTTGAGATCATTTTGGTTTTAATATTGCTCGTATTTCACTCAAAATTGTGTAAAATCTACCAACAAAAATTATCCAAAAAAAATTACTTTACTTTAATTAAACAATTGACTTTCAAGAACAAATTTCATTAGACAAAAAAATCTTTCTTCACTAATGTAGATGTATGCGGAGTCCCAAAAAATTTCAATCCTTTGCAATTTTCAAACATATAGTTAACATATGACATATGAATATATAAATATGAAATTTAAAGAACAAATTTGTAGCCAAGTTTTGAGAAATTGTTGAAAATGTCACTGGGGTTTCATGTTAAGTTGTAATTTAGTTAGTAAGGTCAAAATTTGAAGAATCCCTTTCAAAATCACAGGGCTTCGAGTCAGGTCAGAACAATCAGGCAATATTCATTTTGGAAAAACCCTTATAATTCTTTAGGTGCTATTGTTGTTTATAGAGAAGTGGTCATTTTGAAAACAACGCATTCTCAGTACCAGGGAGTAATTTGTATTCTGTTGAAATCCTGAAATCTATTTTCCACAGCATTACTTAACTTTCTCTATACTTACTATACTTACTATAACATACGCACAGTGTAAGATATATAGGTGTGGTAATTAGCCACCTTTTGGGCAAATTTTCTGAAGCCAGTGTGAGTCCAGTTCTTCGCTTGTCCATATGGTGCTCACAATCTGCTTGGGTATTTATGACGGCGTCTCGGCGCATGGTCTCTGGACACACTGGATACACATAGTAATCGAAGAGACGCTACAGGATATGTATTTTAAGACATAGTTTAAAGTCTCACAGTTGTGTTAAATATAATCTGTTCTAGTGAGAGCCATGCATATTTGCAACTATATGAATCATGTAATACCAAAGAACAGGGATTTTCATTAAAAAACATGATACACACAGTTTACATACATTCTTAATTTCCTAAAAATATCAATATACATAAATATCACATAAGTATCCTATACAGATTCACTGTCATTTGCCTGTACCTTAATTACAGAATGCTGTTGGATATGTGCAAACCACTCATTGTGAAATTGCTTTGATGAAGAATTTACTTTTGAGAAAAGCCTAATGTTATTCTTGTAAATTTTACAATATTTATATACAAAACCTCTATGACTGTATTGAAATAACTTCAGTTGTCTTTTTATAATCACATCGTGACAACATTTTGTGCAAAAAAACACATTCTCTGGTTCACATTTCATGTCCTATGATTCTCAATGAAGACTAACCATTTGTTTATTCTCAGATATTTTTTCAAACATCAATAAGTTTGTCTGACACCCTTTGGATAGATTCAATGAATCTTCTTCAGAATTATAGTTGCTTCGCTCAACATTTTTTCAAAATCATCTTCTGATCTGATAACTAATATTAATTAAAAAATAGTACACAATATAGTGGGGCATAGTGTTCCAATGGCAGTCTCTGTGCCTGTGTCCAAACTACCCAGTGAAGTTCAACAAAATTAAACAAGAATGAAAAATAATAAGATACACAAATATATGCTTTCATTTATTAATCTTAAAAATTACCATTTTAATTATAAGAAATTCTATCTTAATGTCTGGTCAATAAATCGTATCCTCTACAAGTAACCCTATTTATTTTTTAATACTATTGAAAACGCATATCAAATGCATGATTACCATTACAAACATTTCTAAATAACATCACATGAGAATATGTTTGAATTAGCTTCCATTTTCAGTTTTTTGCATGCAAATTCTGCAAACTTTGCACTAATTTAATGCAAAGTGTTCATTTACATTCTTTGATTACACAGTTTAACTCCTGGAATTTTTTTTTTCGAATTGATACATATTGAATAATACTACATTGGTTGTTTAGATTTCACAATATTTAATGTGTATGATTTTACACTGCTTGTGTATTTATTTTATAATTAACTGACATTGTGTATCACACAGCTTAATGAAGCATTTTTGACCCACTTTGAAAACTTCTAAATTTACTTCTAAACTTACTGGAATAAAGTTTTTACTATAGAGTGATTTTTATATGAATGTACCGTTTTGACAGCTAGTGCTAGCAACATAACTGAAGGTAGTGGTTGTTGTCCCATTTGACTCTCCTTCCTTCATTTGTTCATTTGCAATTGGCTAACTTGTAAAAGGCTTCGTCACTTCATTTTGTGATGCTCTTGTCCAACTAAAATATAGTGCGCCCCAAGAAATAATTGAAATTAGGAAGTGCAGTACTACTGTACTCTTCTGAAAAAATTCCTTTTTTATAAAAATTATATTGAATTTATTTTTTGTATGATAAGTATTATGTTTATTTGAAAACCAAGTCTTAAATGTCAGACACGCACTGGCACACAAGTTTCCTGCTCCTGTGCGGTAAAGTTGCAAGATGTGATCAAGAACGCTCCGTGGTTTGTGTTTTATCAATTTATTCTCTTATATAATTACATGGTTGTAAACCACAAGAAGCCATGATGTTTTAATGGGTGCCATGTACAAACATAAACACTTTACAAAGAGGCGTGGCTGAACAGCTGTCACGGCAGAGGCATACTTCTCTGAATTTCATGTGATGTTCACTTGTTTAGAGAGCTGTCCTTTTGGCTCATTCTTAGGCAGATTCTTGTATATGAAGAAATCAGCTGCTCACCGTGCTGTCAATAGAAACCATCTTGCCCAAAAAATACCCACTTTGATCACAGTGCTTATATGTGAGAACTTAAAGAACTAGTCTTACATAAGCTTCAGTTAGATTGGGAGTGAACACACCTATATTTCATACACCATGATATATGAGAAAGTAAAAAGTTCAAGTTCAGCTCCACTACTCCTAAAATTCTTTAAGAACTGAGACAAATTGCAATAAAATTTATGTAATAAATGTATTATATAATATGTATAAATGTAAAATTAAACACTCCTGGGCAAGAAAGCCATATCTTCAGCAGCAGTTGATGTAATGTGGTATCACCTGTAAGGAGGCTTCTTTCTGGGTTTCTGATGCAATATTCATGCAAAATTTCCTTATGGAGAATGAAGCCTGAGGAGACACAGAAACCTGTCTCTCTGAGGCTCTTCACTTATCTTTCTCCAACCTTTAAGCTCTCAGTTGGGTTTCTCTTGCTGGAAGGGCACAAGAAATTCAGCCATCTACTTTGGAATCTGTCAAAATTCATCATTATTATCTGCATTTTATTGCATGAAATTATTCTTAAAGCAGAATTAGCATGTAATAAATGTCGCCTAATTCTGACTCTTAGTTTATTTACTTCTTTCTTTTCTTTAAACATAAACTACCTGTATTTTATGGAGCATATTTTAAATATATTAGATCAATTTTTTGTTGTCAGAAGACATCTAGGCAAAATTTTACAAGTTTGTAGTTGGAAAATTGTATTTAGGTCATCGTTATTAAGAAGAATTTTTTTTTAAATAATTTAAATCTTATTTTAACATATTAAAATGATCTATTAATTTATTCCTTGATTCTAGGATATTCAGTTGTGAAAATATAATGTTAAAAATACATGTAATATATAAATACATGTTAAAAATATTTGTTCTCATTGCTTTATTTCAGCTCCAGCTCGCATTGCATCATTTTCTCAGGTGCTGCGACAGCCTGTGAAAAGTGATGCTATCTTACGTTGTGTGGCTGTAGGAAATCCATCACCTACTGTTAAATGGTATCTCCGACGTGCACCTCTTAATCCTGAACCAGGTGCACGTTTTAATATTTCTGAACATGGAACTTTATTTATTAGAGGTAAGTTGTAGAGAAAATCTGAGTAAAAGACATTTGTTCTTCTTAAAACTCATGTAGAAATTTTTCCAGTTGGTATACATGAATTTGCCTAAGAATGTAATATAATGGGATTAAAATAATTCAAGATGTTGTCATTGCCAACAATGTTTTTTAATTCAATAGCAGCTTTCGATGGCTTAGCCATCATCATCAGACTGATCATGATGGCTAAGCCATCAAAAGCTGCTATTGAATTAAAAAACATTGTTGGCAATGACATCTTTAATTATTTTTAAAATGCCAAAGATATCTTACCACAACACCTATAATGGGATTAAGTCTCTGTGAATCAACAACTTCACTAGTTTTTTGAAAACTTTGACAAGGAGAATACTTTAAACTTTTTTATTAGAACCATAAAGTAAACATGTACTCCTCAATGGATCTCCGATGATTAACAGAAAAATTAATTAAAGAATAACAAACAATGACATAAAGAAATAAAACCTTTTGTTGATTCAATTCTCAAATACCAGTTATAAATGTATTATACAATTATCTTACACATATCTTATGTTTCAAAATACAATTTACAAAGTCTTGAAGATGAAAGTACAGTATTTCTGTACAAAAAGCATTTGGAAGAAAAAGCTATTCAGCATTACATACAATTCCACTGACAAACAGTATCAACAAATATTGAGCAAAAGAAGCTCTTGGCATTTATCATAATTCACCAAAATCAAAATTACTTCATTATTGGAATGAAGAGATAGAAAAGAGGAATAAAGAGAGGAAAACATCTAAAATAGTTAAGTACACAAGAAATTCAAGATAAAATAGAATTTAAGGAGCAAGAAGCTGAGATTAGTAAGAGAATAGCAGATATTAAAAATTTAAATTGGAATAGAATGTGTCAAGAAATTTATTGGAGCATGAAAAAATATTAAGAAATTTTGGAAAAATTCCATAGAAAATGAACATTGTCACTGCATTGATATTCAAACATGGGAAAAGTATTTTAAAGAATTATTATCAGAAAACGGAGAAGAATACACAAAATAGATAACATAAGAAATATTATAATACATAATATAGATAATAACTATATTAATGTAGATATTGTTAAGAAAGCAATTAAATCATTAAAAAATGGAATAGCGATGGGAGTAGGTAGAATTCCAGCTAAATTATTAAAATATGGTTCTGATAAATTATATAACTTGTTAAGAGAATTATTTGAAAAGTGTTTAAATGGAGAAACAGTGCCAGAAGATTGGAAGATAGGTTATATTTTAGTGATACATAAAAAAGAAAGGAAAGATGAATATATAAATTACAGAGGTATTTCTGTCACCATCATATTTAGCAGAGTGTATAGAAAAATAATTAAGTATATTTTGAGAAACGATTTTAGGGATGCAAAACAACAAGTAGGATTTAAAGCAGGTAGATCTACAATAGATCGTATATTTTGTTTACAAAAATGTATTATAAAAAGAGTAGCTAAAGCACTACTTCTCCATTTAGTATTTATTGATAAGCTGATATATAAGCATATATTGATAGCTTACCCATAATCAAATTATGGGATGCTTTGAATGACAGTCATATTAACCCCGATTATAGTAAAATCCATTCAAGAATTGTATAAAAATTCTTTTTTGAAAATAAAAATTAAAATATTTATATCACCTGGTATTGTAGTGAATAAAGGATTACGTCAAGGATGTACATCATCTACATTATTGAAAATTTATATTGAAAATTGTTTGAAAATTAGGAGGAAAAAATGTAATAAAATGGTTTTAACAATAAATTAAAGCACAATTAATACTTTACAAGTTGCTGATGAACAGTTGATAATTGAATAAGATTTGGACAATATAGAATTTATGACAAAAAAATTAATTCAACAATATAACAAGTGGGGTCTAGACGTTAATACAGAGAAAACTATATACATAGTAATTGAAGACAACAGAATAAATTTGGTTTTAGAAGAAGACATGGGGAAAATTATACACAGCAATGAATGTAAATATTTAGGAAAATTTGTAAGTATTTAAAATTACAAATGATGGAAAACAATTTAAAGAAATTCAATCAAAAATAAATTCACGAAAAACAAGATTTCAATTTTAAATTGTATTTTATGGGATAAAGATACCACAAAGGAGACCAAAATTAAAATATTTAAAATGATAATTTGAAGTATTTTGACTTATGGATCACACTTTTGAACGTTAAATTCATTGTTAAAAGGAAAATTATTGACAACAAAAAAGGATTATTGGAGAAGAGTGGCAAGAATTTCCAGAAGAGACAATATTTGAAATGAAATTATTAGAAAAAATATAATTTATCACATTCAATTATAGATTATGTATATAAAAAAAGGCTTATCTGGTTTGGACACTTATAAAGCTTGGAAGAATGGAGATTACCTAAATTAGTGTTTTATTGGGAACCTTTTGGAGAAAAATGTGTTATACCACCTGTGTGATGGAAACAAGAAATTTTAAATGTTCTACAAGAGAAAGGAATAAACAATGATGAGAGTTATAACACAGAAGAATGGAAATTATTTATTTATTTAACTATTAAAATTGTATTTTAAATAGTATTATTATTGTTATTGTGTAATTGTTGAGAAACAGTTTCATTATCGTAAAAATATTTCAAAATTAGGAAATGTATCTTACACATATTCTGTAAATACAGGCTTGGAGAAACAAGATGAAGGCAACTACACTTGTACATCAGAAAATCTTTTTGGCAAGGATAGTGTTGTATACAGTGTGTTAGTGCTAACATCTCCAGCAGCTCCTGTTCTTGAGCTCATCCATGCTGGACAGAACAGTCTAGGCTTGAGGTGGGTGGCTCCTGCTGATGGAGGGGCTCCGCTTTTGGGTAAGTCACTTCAGGAGAAAATGTTATTTTCCTGAATTTGAAAATAATATTAATTATAGAAAGCCAGCAATGCTGCCCTACCTCCAAAAGATGGGAAGTAGACAAAATGAATGCTTCAATAAAATTGTTCTTATTTTATGATTTATTTATGTAATTTAAAAATTTGAGTAGTGAAGTATCTTTTAGTACTGTTCATTTTTTATTTATAAAATAATATTTCTCAATATATATGTATCATATTTATTTACTTTGTTGGAATTTTATTTCAAACACACTACTTTCTTCTTATCTCCCCTTTCGCCAGGAACTACTTTCCAACACTTTTAATAATAAATATCATTAGACTTATTGTTTTTCCAATACAATTGTCATCATTACTTCAATTACCATTTTACATAAAAGGTCTGTCAGGTCAATCAATCAAAAATCCATTCAATTAATAAGCCTACAATATTCTTTAAACTTGTATTCTGTTGCCAAAATAAGGCAAACCATTCAACATTGTCTTTACAGAAGTAACAAGGGACCACTCTTTCAGTACATCAATGTTGCCAATATAGTTGCAAGTCCACTTCGTTTCCACATGCATGTTCTTTAATATATTAATAAAATTATGTATTGCATAATTAATCCAAGATCCATTCATCAATTAATTTGTTTAATATTTTTTAGTATAGTATTAATTGTTGTTATAATTAAAAAGATACAATCATGAAAATCCCTGATATATTATTAACAATTGGAAGACCTAGAGGGTAATTCACATTACAATGAAACCAGGTTTGATGTGTTTGTGATATTACATTTTATTTGTTCCATGTTTTGTTAAAAAAATTGCATTTTACCTCTTCAGATACTGTCAGTGGTCATGAAGAAAATACTTCAAATGTCTATATAAAAGCTTCATACACATGAACAAATTTATGCTAAGCTCCAATCAAACTATTATCTAAATGAATAAAATTGAAGTATCTGCTTGTGAATTTAAAATAACTGCCCTTTTTGAATATTATTTTTTTAATTTATTAAATAATAAATAAACTGATTCAATTGTTTTACGATTTTTGTATACCTGCATGCTTGCTTGCCTGTTTACTCTTAGTAATCTTGGGGCAGGGCAAAACCAATTTGGACAATTTGAGGTTTTCGCTGAAAGATAGTGTTTTGTGCCAGGCTACTTTCTCTGAAATTATAATACAGTAATTCCTCATTGACACAGAATTGCTTAACTCAAATTTCTCTGTAATACAAACAAGCTTTGAGACCCAGTAGGGAAATTCAGAAATACATTTGCAAACATATTTTATGTAACTCAAATTTTTATCACATGAAATTATTGTAGTCCATTGGCATAAGAAATGCACATAGCTTAAAATAAATTTAAAATTTCATAAAAATCCAATTTTTTATTTCAAAGTAACAATAATTGACAAAGCATATTCATTGGAACCAGACTAATCACTTGAATTGAAGCAATGATATCTCTATCCATATTGTTTGTACTTAACTTCCTTGCTAGCAAATAATACCCCAATCTCTAGCTATAATTGCAGTTAAACAGTAATAAGTAAATATTAACAGTAACACTAATCATAAATATTTTAAATAAGAATCTCAAGTATAAAGAATAAAAAGTTACCCACATTATTTCAAAATGCTTTTATATGTAGAACTTGATTTGTTAATGTCATTTTTTGTATTTATCAAATTGTTTTTCAGAATTTGAATCAAATTCAAAGTCAACCTTTTGCTACAACATGAATTATACTAAATGTTTTCCAACAATTTATAATGTTATTTGCCAATTTACACTTAAATTCATTCCACAGTAATTGAATTTGCTTTTTTTCTTTTTTTAAATGCATGAATCACTAAGTTTTATTAGCTGATTCAATTCTGAGAAATAAGTTGTTAAAGAAATAAAACAGAAGGTTTATAATAGATAGGCATACTGCTTATTTTTAGGTTATGTATTGAGTTATAAAAGAGACCATGGAAACTGGCAAGAAGTACATCTTGAAGCTGACAAAGTTCAATATACATTACAAGGTCTTGCATGTGGATCAACGTATCACACCTACCTAATAGCACATAATCGAGTGGGAAATAGTCGTCCTTCTGGCATTGTCACTGCTACTACTAAAGGTGGAGGTAAGTTATATTTTATATTGATGTCATAATAAGTCAGCAGAACAAAGGATGTATGTATGAAATTCAGATATTCATTGAAAATATAATCATCATCATCATCATGGACTGATCCAAAATTAGGCTTTACAGCCTGTTATTATTGGTTTATTACATTATTCTTGGTAGATTATTAGTCTTCCAAGTGTTTCTGCTGTTTTCACCTCTTTAGTGGTCTACCTCTATCTCTGATCCGTGTTGGTTTGTACTTCCAGATTAATTCTCTGACATATTTACAAAGTCTCAATATCAATAGTACATAAGAAAAAATCCACGTATTAGGCCTACTATTATTTTTGACTTTGCAGGGCTTTTTGGCAATGCTCCTGCAAGTTATATTAAAAAAGAAATGAAAGTAATCAACATGTTTAAAAATCAAGAATATTTTGAAAAGAAAGCAGCATTCATTTCATTTTAATGATATTGAAATATTTTGAAATTTTGTTACAACAACATTTTTAAAAGTAGTTAATTAGTAGCTAGAGGCTACTTGTCTTAAACCCTGTAAAGTAGATTAGGTACCACATTCTTAGGCCTGCAATCCTCATCTTCTTTGAATTCTTCCATCAGTTTTCTTTGATCTGAAAAGAAATATCTACATTACGTTCAGCTGCCTTCTTTAAATTTGTTTCATTGTTAGATTACTTTTCCTTAAGCTCCTCATTTCCCAGATATCCAACCACAGATAAAATTTTCAGAATGTCTCTGATTTTTATTTAAAGTTCCTAAATGTATATTTAAAATGTAGAATTGTTAGATGACTTGTGATTATTATTTGTGTAGTAGATATTTTCACTGAATCCAGAAATGCTATTTAACGTGTTGGAATTATACGCTATCGGGTTATCTATCTTTATTTCCATTATAATACTTTAAAACAATTTTATAAATTTAAGTCAAGAGTTACCTTTGATCTTCACAGGTTAAATAGTGCCTCCACATTCACATAAAAAACCTGATAACTTTACTCATTCTCTCGATTTCCTTCCCTCTCCTCACTATCCTGAAGTCACTTTAAACATAAAATAATAACTTTCAAAGAATGGAGCTAAATTGAGAACATTTAGACAACAATCCTTTACGAAGTTCTCAAGAGATGAAAAGCACAATTTTTAAATACTGTAGAATAAATAGAGTAATCAACAAAGCATTTTGGAAGAGACATGACACAGGAAATTAAATTAAGAACCATCCATATGACAGCCAATCAAAAGATAGCATATGGCTCCAAAACTGGGGCCCTGAAATTGAGAGATAGCCAAAGTCTTGAAGTTGCTCAAATTAAATTTCTTATACATCCCTTGACTGTACTGGACTGAATCAACAGAGAAACAAAGACTAGGAAAAACATAAGACAATATATAAAACAGAGGAACTTAAAAATAACAAAAAGTAGCTGAAATATATTAAAGGAATCAAAGATGGAAGATTCAGAAAAGCTGCTCTAAAATATAATCCACTTGGCAGAAAGCTATATGAAGAATGAGAAAGGAATGGATCATCCAAGAATTTCTGGAAGATTAATAATATCCTTTCCAAGCTTCTTAACTAGAAACAGACCTGAGGCCTTTCACCCTGTAGTACGTGATTGTGATGTTGATGATAATGACATTGGCAACAATGATGATGATGATGATGAACATCAAATAAATTAACAAAGAATTTGAGAATACTTTTATTATCCTCCAGGATAACATAACTCAATGATCAATATATTCACCCTTGAGTTCACAGTTTCCTTGAATTCATGTGGGATTTGTAGTAAACAAATTGGATTTGTTGATTGTTTTCATGAAGTTTCTATGTTTCCTTACCATTCATCTTCAATTCTTTAATTTAATTTCGTTATTCATTATAATTTTCATCATCCTCACATAATTAGAAAATTCACCTTAAATATGCATATTCAAGTCCCATGAAAGTCAATGAGATGTTTCTACATCCAAATCTTATTTTTAGTAATTTTGTTACTCATCCTGTAAGAAAAAAAATATTTTTTTACAAATGTTTCATGTTACTTTTTTACAGTGCCACAAACTCCTTCTGGTGCTGGACTCATAGCTGCAAATGCAACATCACTGAACCTACAACTGAGTAATTGGCCGGATGGTGGTTGTTCAGTTCTGTATTTTGTTGTTGAGTATCGAACACTAACAGGATCTCGTGATTGGACTCTTGTGGACAACAATGCACCAGCCAGGCAACTGATCATTCGGGACCTAGCACCTGAAAAATGGTATCAACTACGCCTTACAGCCCATAATGATGCAGGCTCAACAAGAGCAATCTTCAATGTAGCTACTACTACTCTTCTTGGGGGTAAACACAGACTTTAGTCTTATATATTATTATAATCTCCCATATTCTTAGTTACAACCCATTCGATTAGTATAAAACAATCTAGACATTCAGGAGAAAGTTAAGAATATAGATAAACACTGCTATTTTTGGTGTGCTCTTTTTATTTTCTTTCATTTTTTGAATCAATTATATTTTTATACTATGTAATAAAGAAGACAACAAAATAAATGAAAAAATAAAATATGTAAACTGAAAAGTTTTGGGCCCTATTACTTCAAGGGATGTATTCTTAATTCAAGAAAATTATCACGTGTTAAATCAGAAGGCTTTTAATTTTTTTAAAATTAGGTATTCTGTAAATGCTTCAAAGAGAATTAATCTTAGGGGAAAATGTAGATTTCAACGATATTGTTTCTTTTGTAAAATAAAGGATGTAAATTAATGTCAAATTTGAAATTAAATTAACCAATGGGGTGGGTGACTTTTTTCTTATTGAGTGGACTAGAATAAATATGTTTATTTCCATGTTTTGTGAATTATAATATTTCTCTAAAGATATTTAAAAATAAGCAAAAATAATTATTATTTTACAGCTACAATAGCACCACTGGATGATCTTGGCAGCTCTGCTGCAGGTGCACATTTCTATCAAGATGTCTACGTGATGGTTCCAGCTGCTTGTGCTGCAGTATTAATTTTGTCAGCTGCTCTTTTAGCATATGTTGCAATTCATCGGCAGTAAGTACTTATTTCTGTTCATGATGAGCGAAAATAGTAATAAATTGAAAATTAGTGGAATAAGTAAATAAATTTCATACTTTTGAAATATCATAATTGTTTACAACCAAACCTAGGAAGACAGAAAACACACTTAAAAAGTACAATAGAAAATGTGGAACAATTTGGCAGAGACATGGATATGGAAACAAAACTAGAACTCTACAATATAACTGCAAAACCTAGAACCATGTGTGGCTCTGAGACATGGGTAATGGAAGAGACAAACAAGCAAAAACAGCTATAGAACAGTCTCAAAGAAGAAGGAAAGATCATTTACAGAGAATGAGCAACAACAGATTGCCAAAATTAATCTGGAAGAACCATCCAAGAGAGATCAGATATAAAGGCAGAGATAAACTGAACAGATGGCAACAGCAGGTGCACTTGGAATTATAATAACCTACCAAGAATACTTCAATAAAAAAATAGAAATAAGCTGTGAAGCGAAATTTCTGTCCAGTTCCTGGTGATGATTATGTATTGCAGGAGAAGATATTATGCTGATAAAAATTATAAAAGTGATATGAATTTTGCTGTTTCAAAATACATGTTTTTAATGATTTTTGATGAGGAAATCTGCATATGCATGAAAATGTAAAATTTATTTTTAATCATAATTTAACTTTCTCTCTTGTTACAAATTCTTTTAAATTTTATATGAGTGATTGCATAACTAGGTACTATTTAAGTGCTGTCAGAAGTTCATTGATGAAAATACATTGGAGACACAAACATTTTGACTTAATTAAGAATCTCTAAGAAGCCTTTCATATTAGACTAAATTGTTGTGATGGAATAAAAAGCGTATCAATGAAATTTCTATTCCTGATATCTCTGAAATATGTGTTGATTAAAGTATGCATTATCTTGTCTTATATTGTTGATGTCATATTGCTAATTCTAATTACATTTTAATTCTTTAACAGAGCTTGCCAAAGAGCCATAGGTTATAAAAGAGGTCAAGGTCTGCCAGAAAGCCCATCTGTATGCAAAGCTGCAGCTGAAATGGACAATAAACGCAATTTTCAGCAAATTTATTCTTCTTCTCCAGCTAAAGTAGAGGAACGGCATCGCACCAAGCAAGGTGAAGCACCATCAGGTGTGCATCTGTACTTTAGTTTAATGAAACCTTACTTAAATTATTGGGTTTGGTTAAATTATGATTAACATTAAATTAATTTAAGTGTAATCTATAACTTTATTTTCAAGTTTCAATATTAAATTGAGTAATACATGGGATCTACATTACCTGGGGTTTGATTATTCACGAATTTGGGGTCTGTTTTGTAATGAGTATAATTAAACGACTAAATTGAGGGGGGGGGGGGAATGTTACTCACAGGACTCTAACCTGAGACCTTGTATTTATTTAATTAATTTAACCTGTGGATTTAGGAATACATTTTGAATTGATTATGAGAAATGAGGTCAGATAGGTTGTCTATTTTGTCAGTTTGGTTTTGAAACTGTGTTGAGAAATTTTGCGATTTTTCTGTTTTCCGGGTGATGGGGTGCAGCCCCATAGCCTCAACCCTCATAACTGGAGGAGTTTCCAGTTTATTATTTGTAGTTCTCCTTCCCTTCAGTTCAATGATAGTATCTTGAGAGTAGAGATTGAAATATATAACAATATAGTTGTAATAGTTGTGATATACACCCCCTATGACAATGCCTTTTTTTAATAAATTGACAATGTTGCTAGAAGCAAATTTTACTTTGAGATTTCAATGGCAGATGTGGTTGGCATATGGGTGACTCAGCGGTAGGACCACATGGTGAAGATAGGATGAATGATAATGGAGAAAGACTAATTGAGCTTTCTTAACATCATTCATTGTTAAGAACTAACAGATGGTTCAAACATAAGGACATACTCTGATACACATGGGTTCAACACTCTTGAAACTTGAGGTCCATTTATATAATTATATAAATTATATGTGACTTTTGAAAACAAAATCCTTTTTCGAAATCAGGCTATTATTTCTGGAAATAAAACTGTGGTAGGATATGAATTAGATTGACATGAGAAACTATATTTTCTTTCTAACATTGTAATTAGTGGTACTAGTAGTAGCAGCAGAAGTAGTAGAAAAGAAGAAGTTTTTGTTATTGCTGACACCATTCTTTGCTGTCTAATTCTCTTTCTTCTCCTCTGCCTACTCCATTTCTTTTGATCTTTCCAATCTTCATTCTGTAACCATCTAGATTTTTATTTTGCTCTCTTCCTTCTAGATCTTCCTCTATACCTTCTTTCTTCAAGTATGTACCCCAATACCTTCTTTAGCAGTCACTCACAGTCTAACATTCTTAACCACCCACACCAGTAGTGTTTTTGTTTCCATAATTTCCAAGGTTGATTTTTTATGCTTCATTAAATCTCTAATTGCCTAGTATATAGGGTTCTGTAATTAAGCTTTCTGCTATTGTTATATAAGAAAACTTTCATTTCATTTTTGGTCAGAGTCCCTTGACAAGGGATATATTGTCCTAATTGCCTGCCTGTGTTTTGTTTTGTTTAGACAACCATGACCTTTATTCATCACAGTGAATCCCATAAAATTGAATTCTTTTATGTAATTAATTGTACCTCATAGTGTAATCAAGACCCAACCATTTCCTCCAAATATCATTTATTTTGTTTTGCCTTTATTTTTGTCTAGTCCTCACTTTTTGTATTCTTTCATTAATTTTATATTCATTTAGTTGATATCCTCCTCATCATTGGCTTTGGTTACTTGATTGTCTGCATACATTAAGGTACTCAAGATCTGTTCTGTTTTGCGTTTTAATATATAACATTTTTAAAAAGTAATATAATGTATTCTGTTTTGTTTTTTCACTTTTCTTCTTAATTTTTCTTTACAATTAACTTCTTTGAAAAATTGCTTCTGTTATCTTTGTTTTAGTTTTTTATTGAACATTCTTCCCTGTCATTGACCCGGTTAGTGAAGGTTCTGTTGTATTTCTTTGACAACTGAAATTAATCTTCACATATTTTGTTTTCTTTCAAATTAAATTTCTGAATTGGATTTGTAAATAATTATTTATTAACTGAAAAATTTTCAAAATTAGTTTTTACATCTCCAATTCTAATTTTTCATTATTAGTAACATGAAACCCATTTAGGTGTCCCTATATATAAACCAAATGTTCAAAATTCATGCGTCTTTATTGTTGTGATTCTAATGCTGCTTAGAATTGTATGAAATGAGTCCATATGCTACATTTGCGGTGCCACCTGATCCTCCACGACCTGTCACTGCTGCCACACTTGATTATACAGTGCAATTCAAGACATTCGGACATTCAGAGAATGACAGTGGAGCTCAAAGAGAATTGCCACACCGACCCAATAAAAAGCATCGACATACAGCATCTGATGGTATGATTTATTCTAGTTTATCTGCCTATCTATATTATATAACACTCGTTATTATCTTCTTCTTGTCCACTTCAAGAATATGTCTATGACCTGTTCTGGCTTCTAAGAATTCCATCTCTTTTTTATTCATAAGATAAATATTGATCTTCTTCTGCGTTGCTTGTAGAATAAAGTAAAAGAAAATATGTACTTTTAACATTAAGTAATAGAATATTTACCTAGATTCTTCATGTCTATCAGGTCACGAAGTTTACAACAAACCATAATAATATTTCATTATTTGAGAAAAAACATTTTGATTTCAAATGATTTATGAATTACAATGCTACTATCTTCCATTTTCTTGATCTTTCAAACTACACACTAGAGTTTTTGATCAGTGATTTACTGCTTAGAAAATAAAATAGTTGCTTCTGCTTTGTCCCTTTCATAGTTCTTTAATTAAAGCCAGTTGACAGTATTGTTAGATGTTGTTTTTCGTAACATTATAAATTTAAAGGAAAAATACTCGCAGAGTAAAATATGACATTGTATTAATAACTGTTGAATTCACAATTTTTTTAATTAAATACTCTAAAAGTTTTAAGAATGGACAACATATTTCAAAAGTATTACAGTAAACCCTTGTTAACAGGAACTCGCTTAACACAAAATTCATTGTAAAACAAACAAAATTTGGCTCCTGCCAAAGAAAGCTAATAATGACCTAACCTATTTAAAAATTGAATAACATGAATGTTTGTAACTAGAACACTGATTATTTAAGTCCCTTGGAATTCATGTTAATGGGGGTTTACTGTATATATTAATTATTTTCCTATCACAGAATGTATTTTCTTCAAAGAAATTGAGAAATTATAAAAATAATATTTTTACTTCAATGAAATTCACAGGGGAAGCCGCTGGAAGACAAGCTGCTATCACTGCAGCTGCACGTCACAGACATGCTCATTTAAAAGCAGCAGCAAGAGGCAAATCAGCAGATGATTCAGAGTCTGATACAAGTGGAAGTCCTTCTGCTGTTAGTAGTTACAGAGTGCCAATCAAACAAGCAGCAGGTTCACGTAGTTTAGGTAAGGAGGAATCTATTTATACAAATTCTGCCTGTAAGTTGTGCAATAGTTAAAACATAATAATGATTAAGCAGATTGATAATGAACACGGATTAATAGAATATAATCTGAGTAATTAGTATTAATTATATTTATTTTAGGTTGTTTAAAATATCTAGAACTCCCTCAATATTAAAGATCTGTAAAAACTATAATCCAATTTGTTATTTATAACAACAATAAAAGCAATTGTGGAATAGTTATTTTGTGATTAATTATGATTCAGGAGAATGATTTTGGTTTTAAAACATTTGGAAACATAATTTCAAATGTTAATAAAATATATAAATAAAATCTTGAAGTGACGCAAGTTTTTTAAAAGATCGTGTACTTATCTTTCATATGTCCTTGAAATAAAATATTTGTTTTGTTTGTTATAGAATTGTATCGACTGGACTCAAGCACAGAGTCAAATGAAACATCACCTTTGCCAGAACGACGTAGAGCTTCCCGCCACTTCTCTGAACGTGTTCCGAGCCACGCCAGGTAGCCAAGGTTTGTCTCTTCCGCTAGCCCAAGCCGCGCTCTCCTTATTATTCTTTCTTGCTGACTTTTCTAAAGAAATGTTACACAGTAAAATACTTTTAACACCTTTATTACATAGATATGAATAATATGATAAAGATCAATTTGAATTGTAAACAATACATAAATTTATGAAGCAGGATTTCCTCATTTTCTTTTCTTGTCTCCATTGTTTTGGATTGTTTAAATATAATTTAATTAAGATTTAATTTAGGGCTATTTTCCACAAATTTCATTCGGTTTCGCTTTGGGGATATGCTAAACTGTTTCATTAATTGTTTGTGCTTAGCATTCTTAAACACATTACAGTTATTTTAGGGAATTTAATTACAAAACTCCTGAACAAAAACTTCTTCTTCCAGTTTTTTCTAGTCATGGATAAACCCCTTCATTCAGTTTCAATTTAATCAATTCCAATATGCTTCCAGTAATTCTGAGTCGAGCTCAGCAGAAGATGATGCCAGCTTTTCCAGCTACAGATTGCAGCCACCGTCCGGTTTTTCTGATAGTCGTGAATTGAGCGAAGCAGAATGTGATCGTGATGCTAGTCAACTAGACAAATTGCTAGCAAGGTGAGCTTGTTCTTAAATTTCTGTGAGAAGCATCAGTTGCTGTATATACATATTGTTACTGATATGTGCTTGATCAGAGATCCCCATTCAAATTAATGACATATTTTCATGACAAAACATTGGAAACTAAGAACTTATGTTCAAAAGTCTCAAAAAGGATGATTTCCTTCATTAAATCGTGCTTTAATATCAACATCATAATAACATAGTGAGGGGTATTATTAACCAAATTGGTTTAAATTTTGCATGGCACATTCCTTTTTTCATTCTGAACTGATTCACTAGTGAGAAGCTCAAACATTTAAACTTTGAATTTTTAACCTCCCTAAACCATTCTATGTACTCACACATCCAATTTTATGCGAGATAATGTTTTAATTTTGGGACCTGTCAATCTCTTAATGCTAAATTAAAATTCATAGAATTGATTAATTCTTTAAATTAATGTATTCTTTAGATTCTGTCTCTATCTTTGAGATTAGTTTCAGATTCATATTTTACAGATTCCACCAACAGAAAGAACAAGAGCGAATGCAGTTCACTATTCATGTTTGAGAAACCTTATGACTGAAAGAGAAAAAAATTAAGAATAACATTAAGAGTTTTCACAAGAATATACATGAAAGACAAAAAAAAATCAGTGATGGTGTCTCAATGATGAATTGGAGGCTGGCAGTGAAAAGAAACATTAAAGTGCTTTTTTGGAATTCTTCTTTCAACTACTTTGAAATGTTGAAGGAGAAGCCAAATATAATTTCAATTAACTGCTGTTATCATACATTTGTGTATGTTGTAAGAAAGTATTGACAAACCTTCTGTAATTCTTATAAATTTACTGTTTATAATATGTTGATATGAGTGGTTCATATTTTAATGTGCCAAACCACTATAAAAGACGTGTTCATATAAATGTTCTGATATTCCTTGTGTAAAAAGTACATGATATGTACTTCATAGTACTTCATATTCTCTGAAGATGTTTACTCATACTTCAAGAAAGAGGGTCAAATGACTGTTATTTGTATAAAAGTACTTATTCTTAACTCGGAGGTGTGTTAAGAATTGTGTACACATTCATTATCATGAAAATCCATTGGGCCAAATGCAACTGTCATTGTATAAATGTAAGGTAAATTGGTATATGTAAAAAAATAAAGTAGTTTTATTTTGTAATATTTTATTAAATATCTTTAACAGTAGATGTGTATTGTGCAAAATACAATTCCTTCATAACTTGTTCCTTTATTTTCCTGTTAAATGATATTACATTTCGAAATGAAATTCATGGGAGCAAGATTTCAATTACTAATTTGTTTTCTGCTACAACTAATACTCACACATATTTTTACACATTTTAACACAAATATATTCGGTTTAATCCAATTTATTCTCTCTTTCCTTTATGTAGAATACTTTCCATGAAACACACAAGAGCTTTTAATTCTTTGATGACTGTGAGCACAAGTTTTGACAAGCATGAGCAGAAGCTTCACCAATATCCACATGGCACAGATTTTTTCACACTAGTTATTCACCTAATCCCTTTGGTCTGAGCTAGCTTTTTGCTTTTTTTCCTCAATTTTGGAGACCCTTGATAGTAGAAATGAATATTATAGAGAAGCAAAAACCGAGTTCTTCATTTTAACTGAAAAATTTTGAGCCGTTTTTGAGAAAATGTCATTTGATTGTTACTAAAAACTAACATGTAAAATTACCAAATTCGCATTAGACGCGAAAATTTAAATCATTAAATCAACACAAATCCGACAATCCGAAACTCCGTTCCGAACATCCAGAAACACCGGCCAAAATTGAGAAGTTATGCTGAAAATTTCAAACAGTTGTCGCGGCGTTCCCACAATTGTATTCCCACGTGAGAACTTTTGAGAGTCTGGCAAAAGAAGTGCGGGATATTTGAATTTGCAAATTCGTCATTGAAGATGTGACAATGGCGTGTTTGTAATTTAGATTTATGTGCCCGCTTAAGCGAAATAGAAAGGGTTTTGAAATGGGTCGCATCGTGGACTGTCGCCGTCGTCTGTAGCTAGTGCATGCAAAGCAATAGAAGCTTGATGGTGAGAGGGGTTACTGAGAGATGGGAGATTGAGCGTGCTATTATTAGGATTTTGTTCAACAGAGTCCACACTAACTAAGCTAAGAATTCCAACCCTTTCATCTAATTTCATAAATTACAGATTGTTGATGGATTTTTTTAAAATCTATTTTCGCGCGAGCGCAATTGTATTTTCTATTATAAATGTAAAAGTTGTCCTAGACAAGGATTAAAATTTATATGTATGTCAATTGGCTGTTCATTACATGCTATAGTTTTCCTCGCTCAAGAAATGTTTTAAAGAGGTGAACTGTATGCGATAGTTCGGACGCACATGACCCCTCCTAATTCGCAACCCCCTGGTCATGTTTCCATTCTGCCAATGGCTTTTCATGAACCAGATTCCTGCACATCGGGCTGCGGATTGTCAAAATCTGGCTGTTCAAAATGAAAACCTTCTTTTCTTCTTACATCGGCAGCAACTCTCTTTCAGGCTAGCACTTAAATTCTTGACACTCTATTGTTGCATTCGCTCAGTGTGCTTCGTGTGTGTTGCATTCGTGACACGCTGAACGTCGTTTCTAGTGCTCTTTGCATAAGTGGATGTACTGGAGCCAAGATCAACTCACGAAGAGAACAAGACAACTTGGACCTCAGGTAAAATCACAAGTGACATTTTTCACTGTCTTAGGTAAATGATTTTCAACTGAAATAAATTACAAGATGAGGGGCAGGCTGCGGCTCTCTAAACTTTTCCTCACTTGTGCAACGCAAAATTTTGATATTGTAATAACGTGCCATTATTTAGAACTACCAGTTCTCTGTTGCTATTCTCGACGAGAAGGTTGGACCCGTCTGGATCGGAAGGCGGCTCCAAAAAACTAGTATACTTGTAAGTGTGGGAAGGGGACAATTTATAAAATTATTGGCACAATTTTTTTAAGAATACTTGTAACAATTCTACCTCCAGACACAATATTATTATTATTATTATTATTATTATTATTATTATTATTATTATTATTATTATTATTATTATTTTATTTTTATTCTATTTTATTTTATTTTTGAGGCGGGAGACATCCTTTATTGAGAAAGGTAAAACCGGTACTGCAGAACTGTTGGACCCCCAGTCTTGGTGTACCTATTAAAATCCCCTCCGCTCGCCTCTACCCGAATAGTCCCATGTGTGGAGCACATGTTTTACGAAGTACTGCAATATCCGCAGTACACCAATACACATGGTTTTTAGTTTCTTGTTACCGCTATCGAGGTAGAAAGTTATGTAATGCTACTTTTAAAAACGGCGAAGTTTCGGCAGAAAAACTCTTATTACAGGGTCCTTGTAACGAGTGATAAATACAGTTGCTAAATTTAGAAAACAAGTCATCTAACACGTTGCCATAATTCATATTTTGTAGGTCCTTTATATCGAAAAATCTATTGATGGCAAAACGTCTGCCTGTCCGTCCGTCAACAACACTAACGGCTAAACCGTTCAGTCGATTTCCTCCAAAATTGATATTCCCCCACTTTTTTATTAAATTGGGACCTTATATAGCATAAAGGACACTTAAGAGAATGGTGGATGTCTCGTGTTGAAAAATATGAAAGAAAAAATCGGCGTCTTCATATAACTACAATTTTGAGGATACATTTTTTCTTAATAAAATGTGTTCATAAAAACGTATCTTCAAATAAGGTTATGTTGATTTTTTTGAAAATGTGAGAATTGTTTGTTTAATTTCGTGACAATACTGTGCTACAAATTGACTGCGCTTCGTTTACTTAATAGAGGTAATTCCAGCAGAATGCTTTGTAAGTTATATTTTTGTATATTATTTCACATTTCTTTGTTCGTTTCGTATATTTGAACTTTTGTTATACGTTTACAAATTAATCTTTTATACGTATATTAAATTTACGTATATATACGTATTTTAAATTTCGATCTTGGAGTTAGATGTGAAAACGAATAGATGAATTCACGTAAAATGTGGGAATTCACGTAAAAATTAGAGTAGTTAGAGTTATAACAATATATTTAATTATTTTTGTACCATTTTCATTTCCTTTCCAGGGGTATCAAACAAAACTAATTTTCAAAACGTTGTATCCCATACGAATTAGCGGTCATTCTTTAGATTTAGATTTGTTTAGTAAAAAAACCAGTGACGTTTGGGGGAAAATATCATCTGCTGATGTGATGTTTGCAGAAGGCGATCATAACGGCGGCAGTTCGTTCGCGTTAATATAAATTAATAACTTTATTTACGGCTAAAATACGTATCGCGCATTGTTGGTACATTTATGACACAGAATGGTACAGAAAGATTGATACAGAAAGCTGTTATCGATTAAACGTTTGAATAAAAAAGTATATGTATTTTTTACGGTTCGTTTGTTTAAGAATTTTAATTTCTCGCACTTAAGAAGGAACTTCTTAAGAAGAGAAAGGTATGTAAACCCGCGCAAAAACGGCGAATTTTCGGCAGTGAAACTTATTTCAGGGCCCTGGTAACGAAAAAGTTGCTAAATTTAGAAAACAAAACCTCTAACACGTGGTGTAGCTAGAATTCCTGTTTTGTAGGTTCTTTATACCGAAAAATCGATTGACGATCGATCTGGCTGATGTCGCGGACCCTTGAATTTGAAACCGATATTTAATTTTGGGAGTACTTTACATGAAACTCCACGAATATTTTCCAAATTTTCAAAAAATGGCGCCATTGATAATAATTAAATTGAGTTGTCTGGTCTGAAGAACGCTTAAGAGAATGGCTCATATTGGTTAAAAACTCTGATTTTTCGAAAAGTGAAAAAATTCTGAAACGTTTTCCGGTCTCTTCCTACAATTAAATTATTAAAGATAGAGATAATAATTAATAAAATCTGTTCCTTAAAAATAGATTTTGAAAGAAGGTCATATACAAGTTTTCGAAAATTTGAGTATTTTTCGCGTAATTTTGCGCAAAACATAGTCAATTTAAAATATTTGTTTAAACATTTGATTCTCAAAAACGGCTCCACTGTTGTTGATAATTTTTTTTGTTGGATAGTCTGAAGGATATTTAAGAAAATGGTGTAGATCTCAAGTTGGTTAAAACCCTAATTTTTCAAAAAGAGAAAACTTTTCTTATAGTAATCTATAAATATTGGGAGATGGAGCTTCCGCAGCTGGACCGAAAGCGTTTATCCGTCCCGCCCGTTCCAAGCTGATAGGGACCGTCCATAAATTACGTAACGCAAATTGGATTATTTTAAGTACCCCTCTCCCCCTTCCCCCGGTAACGATCCTGTAATGCGTGCTTGAATTTCGCCTAAATAATTACGTAACGCTTGCAACAACATCTCCCCTTTGTAAACGCAAGAAGTGAAAATAAATTATAAAACACTAAAAACAATTTAAATTCATTTTATTTGCGTTGTATGTTAAAATTTATAATTCAACTCGGAATTATTTGGCGATGCTGACTGCACCCAACAACACGATTGAGGGGAAATAATGAGTGAAGTAAGGATGCGTAGGCGAGAAACATTTTGATCTCAAGCCGTGCACGGTATGAAAATTGCGATTGCAATGTAGCCGTCGTGGATGACGCGGCGGCGAGACTCTACTGCAACAATTTAAATACTTTCTAGATTATGCTACGTAGCAGTTTTCAATATTTTCTTGATAATCTATCAGATTCAATAAAAAATTGATGTTTTTTTCCATTTATTTTAACAATTTAATTTATTTATGTTTCAAACGAAATGAATTAGATGATGAAGAATAAGACTAAAAAGAGGAATTACTTCAGCAATCTTTAGCGTTACGTAATTTATAAACGACTCATCACTTTTTTAGTGGTATCTAAGCAAATATCGACCGATCAGATTAAGTCTTGCCGCCCCTCTCCATCTTGTTTTGTCGGCAGTTACTATACACGCGTGAAACATGGGGAATTCAAATACGTGTGAATTTTAGGATGCAAAACCTTACATTCGAGATGCACCCTCAAAAAAGAATAAGCAAAAAGAAAAAGAAAAAACAGAACCACGAGTGTTTTTGTGAAGTTAGTCACTCGCCCACACCGCGCGCCATCTGCTCCCAACGGCAGGGCGAGAACCACGTGTGCAGGCGGCGCGGCGGCGGCGACTTCTGCGCCAACCGACGCCCGCGCGAGGCAGGCCAGTCGTCGGAAATCCGAGCCCTGCGGGAAACAGCGGCCGCTGCAGGGACTTCCCGTCCGCCGAGGCCTTTAAGCCTCGCTCCTCAGCAGGCGGCGCGCGTCGCTTCCACGGGCATTCATATTCCGCTCGTCAAGTTGCCAAGGGTAGTGGTTGTAGCACTCCGTGGTTACTTCGTAATACCGCTTGCCAGTTTGGGAATTGAGTTCATATAGCAGCAGTTTTGGAAGAAACTTGCGATGAACAAACAATGCGAGTCGAGTTTCAGCAGGACTTCCTTGTTTCTAAGAATTGATTTAGTCTCTTACTTGGTTTGCTTGCCGTTTCATGCCTCAAACTAAAAATGGATCCTACATCATCGAACGTTTTTTCAGCAGCCCATCTAGTTCCGAAGCTTTCTGTTAGGGCACAAATTATCTTTCGAAGAAAAGTGAGTATTTAGTGTTTCTGGGGGCGACAAATACTATTATGGCCATTCATTCCATAAGAATAATGAATGTCATATCTCGATATTCCGGGAGGTGGGGTGTTCCTACCCGCTGGAACGTGGTGTGTCATTGGTCGCCAATCTACATTCGTCGGCTTGCGGGAAGGGGGTTTCCCTTCACAAGAATCTCCTCTAGTGGGTCACCGCGCAGACAAGCTCTAAGCTGCCAACTCGTCTCCCGCCACCGGTGCTAGTAGTGAAATGAAAAGGATGAGGAAGAAAATATCCGGTAATGGCCCGTTTGCTGAGACACTGCTCCGGCATTGTCCAGATAATGATCAAAGTAACCAGAAAACTTAACCAATCAATTATGCCGATCGCTACAATTCTCGTACTGATAGTGATTGCTAGGAGGCGGATTTTGATGACGCGCGCCTCTCCTGTTGCCATGGCAACGTCCCTCAACCAATAAGAAATGAGCTTTGGAGTTGGTTTGGCATGGAGGCTCTCGCGCATCTGGCCTCCTCCTGAGCGGTAATAGACAGTGGCCAATGGGTGATCTGTGGTTGCGATGGATCCATTGTGTGGCAAACCTAGCATTTCAGTGGACACAATAACATCTAAAATTGATCCTACAAGAAAGAAATATTAAGTCTGATTCTTTTATTTGGAAAGTCGCCAATAACAGTTAACTAGCAAACCAAAGGTTATTGACTTTCAATTTCACAATATGATTCCGTGTTTGACTTTTTTGGGTCTCCCCAAGTTTTGAACCCACCATCCGCCACTGTAAGTAATTCTATGAGTGCTTTGGAAATTGTCGATAAATCCCCGAACGCGAAGCAAGGAGGGGATTTATCCAAGAATTTCCAGAGCACGAGTGGTATTCAGTATGACAATTTTTCGAATGAAATTTGAATTTGGGGAGCCAATTCATTAATACTCGTTATAAAAGTTAATCTGCTGTTTACACATTTTTAATGATTTCAATTACTACATTGATATCTACATTCTTTACTTACTTAGGCAAATTATTCAAGGCCATCTTCAATGTTAAAATCATGGAGGTTACACTCCACAAGTAAGTTCTGGATTGTGATGGTGGGATCCAGGCGATGGGGGACATTTATTTCTTGCTCGGTTGCATCAGTAAATCTTTTCGCCTTTTCGTACACTATTTGAATAACTGTTTTTCTTAACAATGGAAAAGCGTGTTTAGATGTAAATAAACAAATGGATCGATACATATCTCCTCGGAGGTCCTAAGATGGATGAATCGCAGCTAATGAGTATGAACTAGGAGAAGGTGAAAAGAAAAATCGATAAGAAAAACTGATAATTCTTCTGTGAATCATTGTTCTGATGTATCAATATTGTGTGTATTCTTAAACACTATTGGTCTCAACTTCATGAGTGGAATATTCTGAGGTAATAGAGTGCTTTGGAAATTGTAGATTAACCCGTAACTGGCGAAGCGAGATTATCTGAGACTTTCCAAAGCACGAGTGGTATTACTTGACTAGGGGGCAGATTTTGATGACCTAAAACATTGTCAAAAATGATCAATAAAATGCTTTAAAAATGCCCCATAACCCAGGAAAAATGACATAAAGTTTTTTATTAAAACCACTTCAGATGAACAACTCGAGCTATTGGATATGTTACTGATGTAATCTTCCTTTTGTTCAAGTGAAGTCAGCTTGCAAACTTTGGGTATGGACTGTTCTTTAAAAGAAAATCTCTGCCTTTATTCATCGCGAAATCGGCAAAATTGATAATGGAGCCGATTAACGCCACAGGAACCTTTGATTACACAGTACTCACAAGGGCTGACATTACAATACATGAGCGAAGAAATCGAATAGGCTACTCAGGAATTCTGTGGTGACCATTTGTCGCAATTCGTAAATAGTACTACACAAGTACAAAATATTAAAATCGATGAAACTAGCGAAAAGTGCAGTAAAAAGGACGTAAAAGGAAAACCATTAGTCGAAATCGACCAAAAAATGCAAAATAATGACACATAAAAACATTTCGTTTCATCATAACATAACATGAATTTCTATACTAAACGGCATTGTTCTAAAGTGAAAAAAAGACATTTCATTAAAATCTGCCCCTACTTATGACTATTCCTCGAATAAAATTATTTGGAACAGAGTTCCAAAATGCGCCAAATATTGCAAATAACTTAAAGCTATGATTTGAACAAATGAAAGTAGTTGTGCGTACGCGGTTCGTTGGACATAGACATAGCGATTGATGTACACCGCCTCCTAAGATGAGTCACACTTTATGATTGGTCAGTAGGGAGAAGCGGTACGAAAAAGCGATACACTTTTTGAGATACACCGCTCTGATTGGGGCATTTTGTACTCTTATGTATAGTTGGAACCAGTATTAAACAATACTGGATTTAATTTCACGAGTGCAATAGTCACAATTATTTATTACACAGGAAAAGGTATTCCATCTATTACCGCCCTGCCACGGAGCCTACTTGTATCTATTCGATTTTATCCCCACTCCGTCGTGCCCAACCTCCCTCTGCCTTGCTCACACTTGGAAATATCCTGTCTTCCTCACTCACTTTCTCACTAAAAAATGTTTATATTTTAAAAAAATAGGGTTCCCGCCCCCAAACTACACTCATTTTATAACTGAAAATAATAAACAAATCTAAACAAAAACATTAAATTCCTGTACTCACATTATTTTTGTGCAATTTTATATATTATACCCATACTTTCCAACAGGAGTCACATTATAAAACATTCTTTTTCACATTTTGTTCTTATTTATAAAGAAAAGTTTAAAATTGATCTTTGTCACCATTCCGATGCAATTCAAATATGAAAGAAAGTGTTTTTAATTGAATTTGAATATGCGTTTTAGGATCTTTGATAAATAGTTTGCCTACGGGTAGCATTAACTATTTAGACAATTATAATATCTTTAAAAATTCGAGATCACACAGTGGATCACGGCTTGACCTTAGTTTTCTATTATCTAAAAATAAGTTGAAATTTCAACAACCTTGGAAAACAATGTTGTCACACATTCAATTCATTCTATTTCTCATTACTATTTTACTTCAATTATACTTCGTCTTGCCGAACTTTCATCAATTTAAATAGTAATTCTTTCACCACCCAAAGCTATGCTTTCTCTAGTAAAATAAAACACTTTCCTACAAAAATTCATCCATCTGCCACAGTTTCAACAAAACACGAAAAACATTCAAAATGTGTTTCACTTTTACTCGTGCATCTCTCAAATACCTAATCGCAAACATGTAATTGTGCGTGCTTAATGTACTGCTACTAAATCAATAACTATTTCATGTAGAACGCATGTGTGCATTCATACCTTTTACGACAATATCAAACATTCATGAGCAAAATGTCAATTTCCAATCGTTTAATATGTCTCTCTAGTACATTTAATTCATTCACCTTTAGATGCAATAAAAATCAATATCCAATTTACTTTTATAAATAGAGTGAATAAAAACAATCAGAATGATACTTAAACATGAACTTAATCTTATATCTCAATCGTCACCCTCTGGAGGTGTGCAGCAGTACTATTGCACATTGATGTACGTATAAACGGAGTAATACACGAAGTATAGAGAAAGTTACGTAATGTTGAGAAAATTCGATTTCGAATTTCAAAGGAAATACAGTTTTGATACTAACCTGAGGTACTAAAAAAGTGATTTTTTCAAAACGTCCGTTCCTATGTCTATCTTTCTGTCCGTCCATCGGTCCGTCCGCCTGTCGTGTATGAACAATACAAGCGCCTAAACTACGCGTAAAATTTTTTTCCAAACTGCATTAACCCCTGTCGATCTGACCTCACTCTAACTTGCGATTTTGGAAAGCATTCATCAATTTTTGTGGGTACTTTACATGAATCCCCTGCGACATTTTCAAACATTTCTCAAAAATTCTTTTTTTCTTTAAATTTCTTGTACGAATAGAGTGCAATACACTCATAAAGGTAGCATAGGTCATATATTTACTGTTAACTCTTAATTTTCAAAAATTGCAAAAGTTTCAAATTTTTTCGACTTCTTCCTCCAACTACAAACTTAAAGATGAAATTTGTTCTCCTTAATTAGTTCTTTCAGTAAGGTCAAGTACATGACTTTGAAAATTTTAGTTGTTTTCGAGCAAATTTGCCTGAAATATTTGCAACACCCAAAAATTGAAATATCTATTCATGGTGCTGCGAGAACAGCCATAACGATGGGGAATATCAATTTTGGTGAAAATCCTTCTTTCGGTTTAGCCGCTAGCGTTGTTCACTGACAGAAAGACAGACTGACAGGCATTTGGCCGAAAAGCAATTGTTCAAGGACCCACAAAACGTTGATTCTGGCTAAAATAGGTGTTAGAGGAAGTATTTTTTCGAATAGGAAGAAAAACAATCCACTTTTTCGGTTTCAGGGGCCTGTATTGCGATTGTTTCTGCCGAAAAATCGTTTCACGCTGTAATTTTACATAACTTTCACTATGCAGAATGCGAGAAAGTGAAACGCACTTGACTCACGCGTGGCTCGAACCCGCGCCCTCGGCCTTGGCAAACGGCTGCTCCAAACACTCGCACTGTAAAGGCACGCTGCCAACTATTTCCATTCACATAGCGGGTATAGGCGTGCGTAGCCTAAGACAACACAAGATCCCCCTTTGTCACTAATTTCGTTTTTCAAGTGATCAAAACATAAAATAAGGAGAACTAAATTATAAATTTACAGATACTATTAAAAACAATTTATTTTAGGACCTATGTTTAACCATTGACTCAGTTTTTTGGTGTCTCTGAGAGCCTCTTCCCCAAATGTCGTGTAACAATCTCCCAAATTGTCGTATTAATAAAGGAAAAAATCACGGATTCAGCACAATAAGGAAATAAAATGTTTTGCTACTAAGCAAGGCCTTGCATAGTTTTCGGAGGAAAGCGACTCTTTTGCGCCTTTTGTGCGCACGCCTATGACAGCGGGAGACATTACCAGCCATTAAAACCTCATCAAAAACACTCTAAACGGATGCAATAGCGAAGCAATGATTGTGTTAGCATAAAAGATTGTTGCGTTTGCCAAATACTTCGTCATCCAATATGAGTGAATTTCGCAATCGCTCTGTTATTATAGTTGGAGAGTTTCCAATAACATTTCTTCCCTACTGAGTTTGGGGGAGTCGCGGAAATAACTACGTGAAAATGCAAAGGCTTTGCGGCGAAAGAAGCGCCGGCTGCGCGGGAGGTTAGTGATTGGAGGAGTCAGAGACCTGCGTCCCACGGCCTCGCAGAGGTCGCGTGCTGCTGACCCGTTGGCTGGCGCCTCGCGGTTCACACACGCCCGCGGGCCGCCCGCCACGTTTTCGGCCACCTCCTCGACCTTAAAATGAGAGGTCCCGGCTTTTCCCATCGACTCGCGGCCGCATGAGACCGGTGAATCTTCACTTGGATGCTGCCGTGAAAGGTCGACTTCGGTTTCTCAATGGCTCCGGGACAGGGGCGAGTAAAATTGGGAAATACGAACGCCAATTGGCTTTCTCTCGCTTCCCAGGCATTCGCGATGTTCCCCATGGATTTCAAGAGTATTGTTTTATCTGTTCCATTGCTGGAGAGGGATTTGAGTGGACCCACTATGCACCTTTCTGCAAATTTCCCATTAATAAACAAAACTTTCGTTAACCTCTTTTTAACAAAGCAGAGAACAAACTATTTATTGTAATCTTTTTAAAGTTATTCGCTCAAATGTGAACGTGCTGGGCGTTTGCAGGAGAAAATTTGTCCCTCCGTTGCTTAAAGGTGTGATTGAGCCTCTTTTTCATATTGAATAAATGTAATGGTTTTTAAAAGCAGTCTGCAAAGTCTTCTTTGTTTATCTCGCAATATTATTACAGAATTGTTATTTATGCCCATCCCTTCCCTGTTTACAAAACGTTTCAAAACTGAATATTTAGATATTTTACGCATATTTTATTTTGACTCGTTTTAATGAACGAGAGACTAGAATCTACAGAAGTCATCGAGTTATAATTTTTCAGGTAATTACGATTAAATATTTTCAATCAAAATTCCTGTATCAAGTCTAAAAAAATGTAGACGTCAAATGTTGGTGTCATTTATAGATTTAAAGATCATTACGTCTTAGCCCAAAAGGCAGATCTCAGAAAACGCAAACTTTCGGCTATGAGCATTTTATAAAAAGAAGGCGGAATAGTATTTCTTTGTTCAATTATCTTAGTTTTTACTGTCACATAAAAATTTCACTTCATGTTTTTGTTCAGATAACACGTGAAATGGTAAATGTGTAATGTTTAATAGTAAATATGTGGTTACCACAATTTTATTTCCAATTTGACTTTCAAAACTGATTTCATTTATTAAATAACTGCTGAATACTGAGTATTTAGTAAATTATATTTCTCATTTTAGTTCACCGAGACAGATTCATTACTGTACCTTCAAGCTCAGGTCCACTGCAACAGCGGTTGTTGAAATAGTCTTCAATTTGACCAGCTTTTGGCTATCCTTTTGGCTATCCTTTTATGCATTTGTAATGTAATAATTTAATATATTCAATGATTCAGAAAAGGCAACTTTAAGGACATTAAGGACATGTCGCTAATAAAAGCAGAATAATGTAGTTATTAGTATACACATCTGAGTTTATGGATGGAAACAAGAGTTCGTCGTCCTTTTCCAGGCGTAATCCTCACTTGCACTTCCCTGAGTGCGCAAGCGCGTCGGCACTGACGTGCTTGTGGACGAGCACGAGCCCTGCGAATGCCAAATTAGAGTATAACTGCGGACTCCCGGTTAACAGGATTCGACGCGGTCAACGCGGTGGGCGCAACCGGTAGAACCAGAAAATGATAGGGTGGGTTGCAGACATTTCATTATAATTATCAAGCACACGCGGTCCTTCAACTGCTGGCAAAGTGGGCAGAAATATCCGTGTGCAAAGCGTGGCTCGAAGCCCCAAACTTTTACATCTTTTTTTTTAATCTTTTCAGAAGATTAAATTAGAATCAACACTATTTCCATCATTGACAATGTTTTTCATAAAAAAACGTATTTTAATAATTGGCTTAAAGGTATTTTTTTAATCACAAATACAAAAAAAGAATAGTACTAGCCTGTATTTAGCGTTGCCCGCAATGTCTGTCCCGCTCCTCTTCGCTTGATAGATATTTCCGGGCGCATCAACCGAGCTGGTCGTCGGTGCCGTTGGGGCAGTGAATTTGTTAGTGCCTGGAGGAGGTGAAGGCCCTCCCCCGCGGGGAGTTGATCCGGCGCTGACCACAAGTCGGCTTGCGGAGCATTTTCCCTTCAAGTATCTCCCCCAGCGGATCGCTGACCCAGCCGGGACAAACACTAAGCTCCAGACTGGCCTCTCGACATGCCCGTACATTATAGCCATGTATTTAGTGAGCATGCATGTGTAAGTAGAAGACGGGAGAGAACAAGAAAGAGGAGGAATGGACCGCGCGCGATTAGTGGCCCCTTTATTGAGATACTGCTCCGGCACTCGCGTGGTATTGAACGGAGAAACCGTGGAAAACTACCGAGCAGAGCAGTTGGCCGCTAGAATTTTCAGGCAGCAGCTGAGTTCGACCTAACTAGTGACGTAATGTCGATAGCTTGCCACTGTTGGAACTCGAACCCTCAAACCTCCCGGTCAGAATCGCCGTAGAGAGCGGCAATACTTGTTCTGAGCACTCAGCCCGTGCTCATCACTCGCTCCACTTCGCTTACAACTCCCTTCGTCCACCACGCCCCGCCTATACACAGTGCGCATTTCATTCACAAATACATTTTGTAATAAAATACATTTTGGAGGAACATTTTGAATCGAGCCCCCGATTTTTTATCAGTTGCTCAAAACTGGTCGTGCAAATTTTTGTGAGCAATGACTTCAGTAGTTCTGTCTTTGTGGAATATACACATACACACGCATACATTCACGCACATACATTAACTTTTATATATAATTTTATTTCATCGTATATAATTGAAGTGGAACGTGGGTAACAGAGAAATACATGGCTATACTTGTGAGTAAAAGTTGTCCAAAGTCAAATGATCCAAGCGAATTAAGAGCGTCCTTGAAATCGAATATAAGAGATGCAGCAGTACAATCTGATATTAGTATACTTGTCAAGAAACGAACCCAAAAATAAAACGTGACAAACCCAGGTTTGGCAACGCCTGCAGGAAACTTAGGAAAATTGCAAATCAGAAGCACAGGAAGTGGATCAAAAACAAAAATAAGGGTGAACTAACAAAAGAGCTTAAATCCTTCGTCTAGAAAGGAGTACGCAGTTTGGCCCGAGAAAAGAAGAAACAACAAATGATAAAAATACAATTGGTGCTATCAAATAGTAGTGACCCGCAAACATTTTGGAAAGAAGTAAAGCGTCTCAAACTAAAGAAACACGCAATGTTCTTCAGTTAGTCAAATCAATCTTAATTAATAATGGAAATTTTATGACAAAATATTTCTAAAATTGGTATAGCAAACTCAAGATTTTTTGATGCCACACATCCATACTTATACAACGAAAATTTAATAAAATGAAATGTTTAAAATTTTGAAGGAAACAAAAAACCAGCCTCCTGGTCCGGATGGAATTACAACTGAATTATTCTAGTATCTACTAATCGTATAAGACATATGACGAAACTATTCAACGCAGAAATGAAGACAGAAGAAGTTCCATCGGATTGGTGTAAATCGCAGGTCATACTTATTTACAAGAAATACGACAAATATGACAAAATGAACTGCAGAGGCTTTGCCTTGGCCTATACATTATCGCAGATATTCACCAAATTGATTGCGAAGATGTTAAATAATCACTTCGAAAATCTCAACCTAGTTCCTGAAGCACAGTGCGACTTCAGGACACGACGCTCCCGCAAGGATAATATTTTCTGCCTGTTTACGAATATAGCGATAAATCTTTTAAAATCGGGAGGCAATCTCTGCGCTCCGTTCATTGACTTTCGAAGAGCGTTGGATACTGTAGTCCATACCAGTCTGTGGGAAAACCTATGTGAGGCAGGAATTAGTACTAAAATAATTAGCAAGGCTCCCACAGAGCACCCATTCAGGCCTGCGCGGCAGGCGAGCGTCGAAGCAGCGGATTGGCTGCGGTTTAATCCGCGGCGGATTTTGTTCCGCCGTTGGACGCGTTTTTTCCGCTGCCGCTCGATTTTGTGGAAACTAAGGCAAAGATTCGTCAGATGTGGACTAATTTCAGCTCACCAGTGAATCTGATAAGACTGAACGTCCAGAAAAACTATTTCTAATCGTGTTCAGAAATTTAATTGATTTTAAACAACATTAAACATCGATATTTTACATTTTTTGTTCTTTAAAATTTGTACATTTTAGTAATGAAATGTTTCAATTGGATTATAATTATATTTATATATAATCTATTAATTATAATCAATTACAAAAATAAAATTAAAATTATTGATTAGAATGGAGACAGGACATTGAATAGACAAATTATGAAGAGAGCAATGCTTTACTAGAATTTGTGCAAATGCCTTATCTCGAAAACAAAATCGATGTAAAAGGCAAACTGTAATAGATATTACCTGTACACAGTATCTATTAAATACATTTTTTTAAAAAAATACTCTCTCATATATGTATACACGGAGTAGTTTACGTAGTATAGAGAAAGTTACATAATTCTGTTGAAAATTGATTACGTGTTTTCAACAGAAATACACGTTTTGAGGTACCCTGATATCAATTTTTGTCCATCCGTTCGTCTGTTCTTCTTACTGTCAGTCAATCTGGCACTGGCTGTCGCTTACTGTCCCTCCGTCTGTCCACCTAAGAACAACTCTAGCGCCTACACTATGCACATGATTTGTTTCAAAATAAAAATTCAATCAACCTCGAATTAAAGCTACGATTTTGAAAAAAAACTTAAAATTTGGAAGAACTTAAAATATTTGTACAATTAAGACCACACTGCACTGCACTGCACTGCACTTCACTTCTCGATGACCTTTAAATTACTTCATTATTTCTCCGCTCTGCACTGCACGACACCTCCCTTCACAATATAGCACTTATACATTTCTATATAACCTGTTATTCTTAGATAAGCCCTTCATTTACTTAATAAGACCCTAAGTTAATCTCCTAAGCAGTTGAACGCTTCAAGAAAAGGGTTCAAAGGTCTTTACAGGCAATCTATTCCATTCCGTTATCTTTCGATTTGTGAAAGAAAAGTTCCCGACATCCGTTCTCTGCAGTCTTAAATTTATTTTGTGCCTGTGTTCCCCTCTACTGATGTATGTAGGAATACTTAATCGCCGATTAATTTCTATCCAAGCTGGATGGCCGCTCTAAGCTTTATACAAATTCCAGAATTTTGCTACTAATTGCCTGTTTTCGAGTGAATCCCACCCTGCTATTTTCTTGTCTCTGGAAGTACAGTTAGTTGCTCTAATCTAAATCCTTTCCAAATTTTAACACTGAGTAATTCTGTGCGGATCCCAATAAATTTTTCCATATTCCATTATCGCACGGACAAGCGATAAATAAGTAATTTCCTTCGCATTTGGTGTAACTCTCTGCGCATTACAAAGCGAAGAGATCTCCAGGCATTCCCAACAACAATATCTACGTGACTTTTCCAGCTTCATTTACTATCGAAATGGATTCCTAGGTACTTACACGGGGAGACACTCGGAATAATGTCGTTATTTAAACGGAAATTTGTTTCTCTGTAATCATGTCCCCTGCCACAAGTGATGGATATGGTTTTAGAGCTATTTATTGTCTTTCCATTATTTACCGCCAAGTAAAACAACGCATCAAGATCCCGTTACAGCATTTCTTCGTCTTCTTTCGAACTCATATTAGGTTATATTATGCAATCGCCTGCAAAAAGCCGAACATTTGAGATACGTGCGCTGGAGGATCATTGACGAAAGTTCCAATGACACTCCCCTGCGTTGGAATAAGATGTCCAATGACACTCCCCTGCGTTGGAATAAGATGTCCAATGACACTACCCTGTGGTATTCCTGACGTAACGCATACCCCGGAAGATAACTCTTGCCCAATTCGAACTTTCTGTTTTCTGTCTCGCAGAAACACGCTAATCCACGCCACCACCCTAGGATCGATGCCTGAATTCAGTAATTTCTGAACTAGCCGATCATGTGGAACGACACCGAACGCTTTGGCAAAACATATAACTACTGCGTTATAAATCTTAATCTGAATCTCGCGCCCGCGTCAATTTCATCTGCTAGATCCTGAAATAGCGTGGCCATTCCTGAGCCCGTGTTGGCCATCATAGAGCCATTTTTGGATTCCCCATTCTCTCATTCTTGCTTAATGTACTTTGCAACTAGATACTCCATTCGTTTGAAGACCACTGACATAAGACTACTGGCCTACACACACATAATATGGGTTTGCAATCACTTTTGAAAATTGGTACGACAAAAGGTAATTTCCAAACTTCAGTTACTTTTGAATTGTTAATGTACACGTGAAATATTCTTATTAGGTACGGTAATATTGCCTTTCCTTCTAGCTTAATTATATCCGTAGAGATGTCGTCTGAACACCTTGAACTACCATATTTCATATATTTTAGTTTATTTCTTAGAACGTTTACACCGGTATTAAACTGATTTGTAACCGAAGGCCATTCAATTAGTGGATGAACCGTATTGTTTTTGAAAACCAAACTGAAATATTTATTAAACGCATTATCTTTTGTCCGTTCGTCAGAAATGAGCGTTTTTCCATTTTCACGAATAACTGAGATATCCTCTTTATTTCCCTTCATTCTACGAACATATTTATAAACTCCTGTCCAGTTGTATCCGTGCCCATCTAGTATATTCTTTGAATATGCCTCTTGAGCAATTTTCTTTTCTCGCTCTAATTCTTTTGAACTATTTCAAAAAATAACCATATGCTTGCTACTGCGTTTTCTGTTCATAAATGCCTTTCTCGTCATCCTCTTCATTCGCCTATTTTTTGCATTGTTGCATTGTATTCTGGATCCGTTTTATTTTTTTAGAATTATAACGGCACAAACTTTTGCGAAGCTTCGTGTATAATATCTTTGAACACACCCCACATTTCTTCCATACCTCCCTCAGTTCTCAGAAATTGGTGGTATTGTTCCCTGAAAAAACCTTAAAGTCCTTCTACATTTGCTTTCTTGTATTGCTGCACTTTTGTTCCTATCGTAATGCCTTTTCTTGAAATATTTTTGTCTAAGTTCAGAAGAACAGCTTTGTGATCTCTAATGCCCTCAACAACTTTACAAGATATTAAAATTTCTTTCTGCTTAATTAAGTAGACATTCAAAATAGCATCCTGCCGCGTCCCGCTCCGAATTACCTGAGTTGATCCACTGCCCCAAACTAGACGGTTGACAAGTGTTTAGAGTTCCGCTTCGCTCACGGCTCCCTCCCAGTTTGCGTTAGGAATATTTCAGTCGCATCCAATAACAATAGGATGGCCATTTTCGTTTCCCGTTTTCTGAATGATTTCATCTAAAATGTATCCGTTGCTCGGAGGACTGTAGCATGCACTAATATCAAATATGGTTCCTGAAGTAGTAATTTATATTCCCATTATTTCTAACTCTATACTGACCCAATCTAGTCTAATATACATGTCTGCTTTGACGCAAATAAATACTCCGCCCATCTACTATTTTTATCCCTCGTAAAGACCTTGTAAGTGAATGAAAAATTTCAGACGATCCGATTTCCTCAGTTAGCCACGAAACAGTCCCAATCACAACGTCGAGATAGCATGCATCAACTAGATTACAAAACTCTATCTTTTTATTGATTAAACTACGGCAGTTCACCTGCAACAACCTAAAAAATCCTTTCCTCACCTGCATATGTTCTCGAGAAGGCACGTCCCTTGAAGCCGTCTCCGCCGCCTCCACAGTTATACACGTCTCCCTAGAATCCGTCAGACACTCCCAGCGTCTACAGGCGACAGGAGGGCGTGCGTGTGCAGAACTCAGCAACTCTGGTGTAGAGACCTCTGACCGCCGCAACGCCTCTCCGGTTGAGGTGAACGCCTTCTCGACCTATCGCTCTCCCCTGGCTCTACCCGTTTGGATCCATAAATGTGAACCCGTGTGCTCTAGCCACAGCGTGATTCGCGATTTACGCTAGCGACTTCATGAAACCAAACATCCTGGCGGTGAATGTCGCCACTGAGTGTTATGCGGGCGGATGGAAAGCGCCTTTTAGCTGCTTTTGGCGGGCCAAGATTCATCTCGACGCCACCAATTATTAACAGCGTTGCTATAATAAGCAACTCAAAGGCATCCAGGGAAGGAGCAGGGACGCTACGCTTTTGCAGCACGCACGCCACGCGGGCGGCCCAGCCACCGATGAGGGTCCAGTACAGCAAGTCGCAACCCGTTATCCCTTTACCTGAGCGAGAGCGATCCCCAAGACACGACAAGACAAAACAAGAAATGTTGGTTCAGCATGGATATCTCCGTTTCTCCGATTCTATCGCCTAAATTTTCGTCACTTTAGCATTCATCTCCAACTCCCAATTACTGTCACAATCCCAGGAGCTAGCGGTACCGGCAATTCCTCATTGTAACATTCAGACCTTATAGCAAGAAGTAAGTTAGGATAGTTTCCTGTTTTCTTCGTTTTTGAGGTGATTCCTACAATTCGTGTCAAACAGAAATAATATTCTGTTCTGTAACACGTTAGTCCTCTTCAAAACATGGGAAAACCAAAGGGCATGTGCCGTGTAACTTTTAACCTACATTTGAGGAGTATAACACACGACACAGCATATTTGGAGGTCCATTTCAGGGCATGGGCGCCAATGAAAGATTCGAAATACATTTCATAACACTTCCTTATTAATGTTTAGTTTTTGCTATTTCAGAGTTAACTCTCAACAGACACAACAAAACCAATTTGGGCTATTTACATAGTTACGAGGCTTTATTCTTGTAAATTAATACAAAGCACAAAACTTCACGAACCTAGAACAGCAAGCAATCACTTTCCACGCTATGAGATCTCTCAATGCTGGGTTGAACGAGGCAAGAAACATAAGATTCTATCTGATCGAGCACGACTCATCAGCAATGTTACTAAATCGTTTTGATTCCCTATAGATAAATTAGATGAATTCAATATCATGAATATGAATTCCTTGTTCGATTTTTTATTGTTCCTGAACAATTAGATCTGCCGAATAACTAAATGAAGCTACAGAAAAAAAACAATAAGCAGCGTTTTCAAGCATTTCCATAAATAGAGAGTAGCGTTAATAAAAAAAACTGAGCCCGATAGGGAAAAAATGATTTCATATTCGAATTCATGGTACAAGTCGTAGCTAAGAACACCATTCAGCTTCTTTGTTACAAAAATGCTGTTGACCCATGTAATCGGCAGCTGAGAAGAGGGTGGGTCCAAACACAATAGACGACTGATGTTATTACAATGTTCCTTAGTATGTTCGAAGCACAGGTTGGGCGATTAGGAATCTAAATGGGTGAGTAATCTCATGGCACTGTGGCCTAATAAACAGGTAAATTCATGGTTGATACGTGATTCGGGTGGCGTAGAATACGAGGAAGCAAAAACGCGGCTGTTGGAAATGTTTAAATTTAACGCCGAAAGATTTCGACAGTTATTCACGCCTCACCAAAGATAAGCTGGGAGTACTTGTATACGAACGGGAATTAAAAGGAATGGGTCGCGGGGCTTAAAATTACTGAATTCCACGAGCTCCTAAATGTAATGGTTACGGACCAAACCTGCAAAACTGCGCGAATATTTTATCGATGATTGAGATTTTGAAGCATCTCTTGAGCTAGCAAAGAAACTCGATAGCTATGAGAACAACCTATGAGGCTGGAAACGTTGTTTCTCTAGGTTTGCTGACAACGATTACACGCGGTAAAACGGGTGGACCAGGCTCCGTACCACCGCGAGGCGCAATACAACCAGAACCGAATTTGAAAAGCCTAAGGCGACCATCTGTTTTAAGTGTGGGAAAGCAGGCCATTTTCGTAGGCAATGCCCGGAACGGAAGAGCGTGGAAATAATAAATCACGTGTCCGCCACGCAAGATCAGGCATTTTTGAAACCCTTTACGTACGTCGGAAAAGTAAATAAATTTCACTGTAAAATACTTCGCTATTGTGGAGCTACTTATGATCTTGTAAGCGGAAAACTTGATAGACGCCCGAATGATCGGGGAATCCATTTACGTAATGCAACCTATTGATGCAGAACCAAAGAAGCTGTCGGTGGCGCGTGTCACGTTCGAAGGTTCCTTCAGCAGGTTCGCTACAAGGGCAGCCGTAGCGAAGAGTAATTGCCAGCTCGATTACAATTCGTTAAATAACCGTACGGTCATATTGATGGACAAGGTTCAAGGGGAGGTTATTGAACCACAAGTAGCATGTGTGGCACAGGCAATGTCACAGATTCACGTAAAGCCGCGTACGGCTTCGTCAGAACGCAACGAGACTGATTCCACCATAGCCCGCCGTAGGCGTCCGACGTCAAGGACGGGGCGGACAAAGCGCTGGCGGGCGTAGACGACGAGGTAAGCGACGCGACAGAATTAGACGCAGGGATTATAAATCTATTAAAAAAGGACAGTCATTCGCGATCGTGCAACAGCAAGACGAGGAAATCGAAAGATTAACGAAGCGAGCCAGAGGAGTCGGTTCAGAAAAAAGTGGCTACTTCCCAAAGGGCAGATTGTTGTTTCGGGGACCAGAAAGAACAAGCGCGGCGAATGGGACGAAATGATTAAATGCCCGATATCTACTGTTGTACTGCGCTGAAGGTCTGTCACCAAACGGCGAATGCGCATCTGGGGTAACAAAGAGTAAGGACTCAATGGCTAAGTATTTTTACTGGCCGAATTGCTCTATAGACATGGAGACTTAGGTGCGCACTTGCGACAGCTGTCACAGGGTAGGTTGAGCAGGAGACAAAAAGAAATCACCGCTGAAACTCCTTCCTGTCGTCTTAGAAGTATTTGAAAAAAGTGAAATTGATGCGTGCGAGCCTTTGTCGGAGTCAGAAGCTGGGAACAAGTATATTATCACCGTGTTCAAATAACCACATGGTAAAGGGTTAAGGAATTTATCGTGAGCAACGGTCACCGAAGCCCCTTCAAAATTTATTAATAGAGTAGGATGTCCGGCGGAAGTTAAAACAGATCTAGCGACGGCTTTACGAGGGCGTTGACGGCAAAATCGCAGATCGGTGCGGGATCCGCAACAATACATCATCATTGCGCATAAAAAGGGGGCAGAACAGGTGAATGTAGATGCCTGAATCGCACGTACGTACTGGACTGATCGCGAGTGCAAGAGGGCACCACGACAGTGGAGCTAAAATGTACAAAAACAGTGTAATTGTGTAAAATTGTAAATACTATAGTTTTAAGAGTGTTACTGATTGTATATAAAATGTCTTCTTTCTTTATAGGGTTTGGATTTTTGTGATATGTTGTCAGGATTTGTGATATTTGTTGCCCAAGGTTATGATCACAGTAAAATTGTAAATGTCATATTGAAAAGTGTTATATTTTGGAGCGCAACTAGGTTAATTTTAGAGTTAAGGACTCTGGTTGTTCAATCTTTGGGGAAAAAGGCGTTAAATATTGTTACAGATTGACAGATAGGTGTTGTGTATATGTATATTACGAAATTGGGAAATTATAGGTATCAATTGAGGATAAATTGTAATGTTGTAAAGTATTAATGATAGATTGGCGTACAATCTTGGAATTTTTATTATCTGTGTGAGCTGCCTCTGGACAATTGGGCCCCAAATTACAATCAGGTCCAGGGTTCAATAAGGGGATGACGCTACCGGCGTGGGAGGTCTGTCACGGTCGTCACGCCTGGCGTCGACGCTGGAGAGAGAACAGTCGGGTGCATTCGAGTTTGAACTGAATCGCAGTGCGGAAGGCGCTTGTCACCCGCCAGAGGTTATCGCTAGCTTCGGCTGCGAGGTGTGGCTGTTCGAGCCGAACGGGACACAGGACGAGAGACTAGGAGCGACGCTAAGGTTAGCCGCTGGGATCTGTGTCAGACTGAGGGGACGAAATGGCAATCTGTTTGAGAAAAAATGTAAAATACATGTTCTACAGCCTGCAGTTTTTAGTTCGTACAATAAAGGAATGGGCAGGGATGGATTTGATGGACCGAATGGTAGCGAACTACAGAGCCAGAATGCAACAACAAAAGTGGTATTGGCCTATATTTGCTTTTGTTTGGACAGTTCTGCCTGGCCACTGATAAAAAAAATATTGCCAAATGATGAAGAATCCCATTGTCTGTATGGAATATAATCAAGAAAATGAAAATAGCAAAATCATCCAAATACTGTCATCTGTTTTGATGGCAAAAAACACTGAATAATTTCTGTTTCAACAGAAAAGAAATGTCGCTACTGCCATGGTAATGCAAAATTCATGGATATACACTTTTTTCCAAAAAAAAAGCAGGGAACTTAATGCACTAATGGCTAATTTATGTGTTTTGCTGCATTATTGTTGTCAAAACACATTTTACTTTCTTGCTACAGAGTAGAGAAACTTTCGCTATGTGGAAAAAAACGCCAATATTCGGCAGAAAACTCATATTGCAAGGCCCTGGTAACGAAAAAGTGAATAAATCCAGTTGCTAAATTTAGAAAACAAATCCTCTAACACGTGGTGTAAAAAAACACGATTTGTGGGTCCTGAAAAATCGATTGACGGCAAAACCTCTGTACGTCTCTCTGTCGGTCTGTCTGCCTGTCCATCTGTGAACAGCGCTAGCGGCTGAAGCGTTCTAAACCGGCTAAACCGATTTTCTCCAAAATTGATATTCCCCAATCGATCTGTCTGATGTTGCGCCCCTTTGAATTTGAAAATATTTTAATTTTGGGGAGTTCTTTACATGAATCGTTGGAAACATTTTCAAAATGTTGATTCAATTTTTATTACATGTTGTTGTCGGATAGTGTAAAGGACGTTTAAAAGAATGGTACAGGTCTCATGTACGTTGAAAACTATGATTTTTCGAAAATTGCAAAAGTTTAATTTTGTTCAGCGTCCTCCTACAACTACAATTACGAAGACAGTGGATTTTTTATTAAAATCTGTTCCTTAAAAATATATTTTGAAATTAGGGTATGTACAAGTTTTCGAAAATTTGAATAGTCTTTGCCTGAAAATACGGGCGAGAAATTACGTGCTGTTTTAGCACCACAAGTTTATCTCGCGAGTTCTTGCTGCAACTCAGCAAGACCGAGGAAGGGCGGCAAAAGTTGGTTGACTGGTACGTCGATGGTTGACGGGAAGGCCACGAAGCTAAAGAAAGGCCCCTTTGTAAAAAGGGAAAGAACGTCCCCGCGATCGTCCCTCAATAAACAAGGCGTCTCCCTTCCGTGTACAAAGGGCGAACGCGGAGATTCCATTTGAACAGGAATGCCTCCTGCACAGTTCTTGCCTCGTCAGACCCCTCCTTTCCTTTATCCTCCACCACTCGTAACCATTTTCTCTTACCCTGCATTTTCTTCATTAGAGATCCATTACTCGGTGGAAAACGCCTTTTTAGAGTTAGGGATTCCATCACAGAACAAAACTCATAATTAACGTGCGATACAGAAGTGTTGAATCAAAACTTGTCGCAGTTGGAGACACTTTAATGAAATCATTATTGCATGCTTGCAACGCGTAAAACAGACGTTTCTCTATTGTAGTAAAACTAGAGGAATTTTAGTAATGAAACATATCAATTTATATTCTCATTTATTATATTTAAAAGTATACTTACGTTTTATAAATAAAAAATATTTGAATTACCTACTATTATGATTTAACATGATGCTTGATCATAGTGCCAACGAAATTAAGAAAGAGTTCTATATGTCATTACCACATTTTGAAAACTTTAAATTAAAACTGAAAGTCTGAATTCTGCTGCATTAAATGCAGAGATACAGTGGAATTTTGTCTTTGTAAATACTTAAACCCCAGAATTCGGCACGTGAAGAATAGTTAGAACATATCTCAGTTTTTAAAGGAAGGACGAATTCGGTGAATAACTTAACTAGTAGGCTCACCAGTCGTCTAATTTAGTGATAACAGACTGGGAATCAATTAACGGTAATGAGTTCAAAGTTGACCAAAGATAGTCAAAATTGCCACTCAATAACTCATAAGGGAATACAAAAACAATGTACATTGTACAACCCTGAATTTTGGAATACTAAAGGGCGGAATAATTTTTCTCTAGAACGTAATTGTTATATGTTAGTTCTGTTTTCCTTTTTATTGTAGTCCTGATTTTGGAAAGTATGTGCTATATATTTCTCCCCTGGAACCTTTAATTTTGTATGCATTTTCTTGAACTTCCAATAATACAATGTTTGAGTTGCATAACGCTGCTAGCTATGATCTACAGCTAATATGTTTTAGATCAAAGTAAACAGCGACTACGATTCTGAGAAATCCACAAGAAACTAAATTCGGGAATACGGCACTTAATTAGCCTTTAATTTTGGGCATATGTATTGTGTATAATTGTTGGGCGCTGCTAGTTGTAGTTGGCTTAGAACCTACTCTGTTTTTTGCAAAAATAAGAAAAGCGTTAATACAACTGATAACTTCTTAACAATTACTATAATAACATGGTAAAAAGTAATTTAGGACATATTTGTTGGGTTCAAGAATTATTTTAAGGGACCATAGATGTCATCCGTGAATGGAAGCGAAAAATGATTGACTTAAAAATGGTGTTTCTTTTGAGGCTCCTAGCATCCAAAACATCACACAATAGCACGCATGTGAAGAAAAAAAAACACGGAGTCCTTTGAGAAGAAAAAAAAAGACTCGCTAAACATGAAACTAAAAATGAAACTACGAAATGAAACTGGTTAAATGCTCATGCCGAAGCGTGTAATAATCTTACGCCTCCCAAATATGATTAACAGCATCCCTTACTAATTCAAGTCCTTCAAAACAAATTCTCCGTAAAACACAAATGTTCCCTGGTTTGTCCGACTGTTACCAACTTCACCGCAATCTAGGCATTCAATTCCTGATATCATTCATAAAACTATTACATCACATATCGTCCTCCCTCCCTCGCCTCCCTCCACCATTTATGTAACCATCATTCCACAAGACAGGAAAACATCCTTACGCTTTCCAAGAATTAAGGAAGCATATCCCTATGATGTCATAAATGAATAATTCCTATCCCCTGTAACCCTGTACCATCGCCAACCAAAAGATACATAAAATTAACAAATCAAAAAAAAAAAAAACATTACATAACTTTCTCTCTTTACGACGTACCTTCGTAAGGGCGAGTGAAAATATGCAGGTGACCAACTAGATTAATAGTATAATAATTTGTTGGGTTAATAGTGCTTAAATGTAAATAGTGGAATAAATGTATTGTACGAGGGTTGGGGCAGAAGTAATAGCAACTATTTTTTTAAATAAATATCGGAAAAGAAGTATCGGATCACAAAATTTTATTTGTTGCTTGAATGAAATGCACTATTAATGCGTGTTCATAACAGATGGTCCTTTGAGTGACTCTTTTAGCACAGAGAGCTATGTGAAATCAGTTGTCTGACTACCGCCGTGCGAGGTGAATGTAACCCTTTCGAGCAACGCTCCTACATCAACACAGCCGTTTCCCGTTGAAGAAATGCCCTATGTGACAGGAAATTGGTGGAAGCTGTTAGGAGCAATGCCCTACAATATACCGGGTATTGCGAGAAAACCAGAAGAGTTTCAGCGAAGTAGCGTAGGCAAGATTGATCAGTAGGAGTCGGGTTTTAATGAAATATCATTTTTTTCTTATCACTTTAGAACAATGTCTTTTAGTACCGACATTAATTTCAGTTATATCAAAAGGAATGACCCATTTTTACATAACTATTTTTTTGTTGCATTTTTCGCCTATTTCGACTAATAACTCCTTTTTCACCTTTTCCCCGTCATGTTTTAGGCACTGTTTTGCTAATAACATCGATATTAATATAATTTTAATGGTACTCGCTTCAAATAATATTTACGAAATGCAACAAATGTTCTCCACAGAATTTCTGAGTAGCCTATTAGATGACTTCGTTCAGAAATGGTAATGTCAGCAGTTGCGTGTAATTAAGGTTTTTGAGAGCCTTTCAGCGCCATCAGTTCGGCCACTTCCGAGATAACTAGAAAAAAAACAGATTTCCTGGTAAAGAACAGTTTAAACCAAACGTTTGCAAGCTGAGTTCACTTGGACGAAAGGAAGAAGCCGCACTTACGTCGGTAACGTATCCAACAGCTTGAGTACTTCATCTGAACTAGTTTTGATCTAATTTTTACGTCATTTTTCATTGTTTTTAGGTCATTTTTTTAAAAAAATTTAAGAGCATTTTCGTGATCATTTTTGGCAATGTTTTATGTCATCAAAATCCTAGTGACCAGCAACGCGCGAGACAAGTCAAAGAGCTGCTAGAGTCAAAGAGCGGAAGTGGTGTCGAGAAACGCACACTCGCAGGTCTTCTGGTGCGTTGCTGATCAAGGTTACGACGCGTCTTCGCTGAAACTCTCCTGGCTATCTCGCGACGGTCCGGTATGGAAGGGCATTGTCCCAACAGCTTCCACCAATTTCCTGTGACATCGTGACATTACTCTCGCGTAGAACGGCCATCTTGAGCGCTGCTCGAAACGGGTTACATTAACCTCGCACGGCGGTAGTGAGACAACTGATTTCACATTGCTCTCTGTGCTAATAGACACACTCAAAGGGCCATCTGTTGTGAACACGCATTAATAGTACATTTCATTCAAGCAACAAATAAAATTATGTGATCCGATAAGATTTCTTTTAGAAAAAAATAGTTACCATGACTTCTGCCCCAACCCTCATGTATTACGTAGTTTTCAGAAGCCATCACATCCCTCGTGGGCTGCAATAGTGTAACACGCCAAAAAATGCAAATTTTGAGTTAATGCACTCTCCCAAATTGCAGGCTGGTCTACCTTCCAGCAGCAATAGCAGCATATTGAACGGTACAGTATTTCACCAACAAATGGCAGAAGTGTCGATGTTGGTTCTCTGCTTTATTTACACTGGCTGCAATACCCACACCTCTCAGTTAATACAATATTTGGTCCTTGGAAGTAAAGGAGCATCTTCTGGTCGTCAATAGCGACAATTTTAAAGATGTGCCAATGTTTCAGAAGAATTTAATAGTTTTCTGTGGAATATCTCTAATTGTGCCACCTATAACTTCACAATTTTAATTGAAATATGTCTACTGCTACATATGGCATGAAGGCGATGGAAAGAAAGATGCTACTGAAATTGAAAAATGTTTAGAAGAAAACACTTCTGCATGCAAAAAATATGAATTAGAATAACTCTGTATTCAGACAATCGCGACCGACATCGCAACACACTATTGCATGTTACTTGTATGTAATGTCAAGATTTCCAATTAAAAGGATAACACACAAACTTTTCGTTGTGGGACTCAAAGACGAAGGTGATTGTGTTCACCCTGTTATAGAAAAAGAGCTATTCAACGACCACTAAATCAGGTCCAATCTACGCCCGATCGCAATATTTTAAATAGGATGTAAGAAAAAGGCAAACATTTCCAATGGTTTGAAATGGAATACCATGACTTTGTTAATGTAAAAGACCTCACATAATCTCATTAAATATATATATATATATATATATATATATATATATATATATATATATATATATATATATTAATGCCTGGAGGCTCAGGGCATCTGCTTATGTCACTGCCGTGCCTATGACAGGGATGTCCGAGTCTCGAAAGTGCCAGAATTTTCGACACTAGCTAGATAGCAAGATCGAGTTTAGCCGCTGTTTAGAGGAGAATTCTAGTTACTGGTTGCTCTGATCGGTAGTTTTTCGTGGTTTTTGCGATCAACACTAGGCGATTGCCAGAGCAGTAACCTAACAAACGGGCCCGCGGACCGCGCGTTATCTTTCCTGTCCTATCCTCACCCCTTACACACATTTACACTTACATGCACTACTCTACCACACACGCCGGGAGATCGGTCGGGAGCTTAGTGTTAAGGCGACTCCACACATGCGGCATTCGGCGAATCCTGAGCAACTGCTCGCCGAATCCCGAGTAGTGTGGTCTGGTTCCTTGCGATTCTCCAAGCGCCGAACAGTCGATATTCGCCCTACCCACCGCGTGTCGGTCTTTAGGACACATCAAACATTCGCCGAACACAGCTGTTCGGGATTAGGCGAGCAGTAGCTCGCTGCTCGGCGAATGCCGAATGTGTGGAGCCGCCTTTAGAGCTTGTTCCGGCCGGGGCGGTGCACCGCTGGTGGATGATACCTGATTCAGGAAAACCCCGTTAGCCGACATGTAAATCGGCGCCGGATCTCATCATTAAGCGGGGGAATTTCCCCCTCCAACTCCCGAGGAAAATTCATTACACTTACGGGACTAACAATCAACAGACACTTACAAACACTTTTCAACATTTCTGTAGTCTACTGAAGGTAGAAAACCAATCATTGGATTGATTATTCCACAAAAAGTATTTCAAAGAAACAGTATAAAAATGTGAAGAACAAATCCTCAAGATTCAAAAAGAGTTTACAATTGTTTCAATCAGCAACACTGAAAAAAGCTTACAGCAATATCTAAGAAGAAAGTCAACGATCTTCAAATTTGATCACCAGCAATGCAGTTATTATTATTATTATTATTATTATTATTATTATTATTATTATTATTATTTTATTATTCTCAGTATTTACTGGTTGGTATGTCAACCACACCCAGGAATGATGACCAGGTGTGCGGTTGCTTTATTGAAGATTCTTCTAACAATACGGCATGTATTCAAGATGATTATTATGATCATCATAATTTTTATTATTATTATTATTATTATTATTATTATTATTATTATTATTATTATTATTATTATTTCTCCTCTACATCACGACTAAGATGTTATGAGTCAGCTCAATATAAAATCTACTCCACGTTGCCACCAGCTACCTAAGGGGCAGATCAAGTGACTGTTGGTCCTTCTGCAACACTTCGCACAAAATGTGGGCTGTTCCAAATAAAGCAATGTCTTGCACTTCCCAGTCTTTTCAGTGACTTGGGAGTTTAGACAAGTTCTTACACAAATTTTGCGGAACAAATCCCAGAGCTCCGATAACTATCGGTATGACCTGTGCTCTTTCGGCTGATCGGCTGATCTCGATTTCCAAACACGTGTATTTAAGACGTATCTCTGCCTCCTTGGTTTTGATGTTGGTATCTCTCCCTCCGTTTTGATCGCAAGGCACAGCAACTTCTACAAGTTGACACGATTTTTTGCTCCAAATCTCGGATTACAATATCCGGTGTGTTTGCTGCTATCATAAGATCCGTTTGAATTTGTTGGTCATATAATATTGTATAGATGTCAGGTTTTGGTGAGTCTTCGTACCACTTGGGGCATGTGTTTGGAACTTCGAGGGCGGTTAGGATCTGCCAGTGGAGGTAACTACACATCCTGTCGTGTCATTTTCAGAATTCGGTCTTTGCTAAATGTGGTCAAAATGAGACGATGTGATCAATGGCTTTTACTTTTTCTTAGCAGATGCGCCATTTATCATCTTGAGAAATTTTGAGAATTGCTTTACCATAATGTCGTGTTGTCAACGCCTGATCCTCACCAGCTATTAGAACTGCTTCTAATTCTGGCTTCGTTCTTCCCCTTTTAAGCCCCATGAATGATTGATATTTATTTATCTACACCTTGTCCATTATTTTTAGATATTCTCTCTTTCATTGTGTCGTTCGAGATGGTTTTACATTTTTGAATGGCCAGATATTTGTAAGTTTTACCTGGCTCAAGATCTTGAATCACAATCTGCATATCAACTTCAATGCTCTCTGACGTCACTTTGCATATCTTTAAATTGATTTTTGCACACATGTCAAGACCAAGTTTCATACAGATGTCATTGCTAAAGTCATTTATGACAGACAACATTTGGAAGGGAATCGCTCAATTCTTAGCAAACACTTATCCGTGTACAACAAATGTGATACAGGTCTTTCATCAACATGGAAATTGTAACGAAAGTCAGTTTGCGACAACTGTCTAGATAGTGGGATCAAAAATAAAAATACCCCTGTTGATCTGAATACTTCTTGTTTCTACTGCTTCCTTTCCGCTGAATATTAGTAACTTGGTACTCCACGACTTCATATTAGCATTGCAAAATTTATTATTATTATTATTATTATTATTATTATTATTATTATTATTATTATTATTATTATTATTATTGCCCCTTACAATCAAGTAGATGGCAAGGGTCTCCGATTATCGTGTGGGTTACACAATGGTAGAATTCCTGAGCACCCAATCCATGAACTTCCTTATACTTGCGCAATTTACACACATAATACTTTACACAAAAATAAGGCAAGCAATGCAGTACCAATACGTTATTCAACATTTTACAACAACCTAACATTTCAACCCAAAGAATGGGTTTCACTTTGAAATTACGTAAGTTATGTATTCCGTCTTATTGCTTCTTGTTTATGTTGTGATGATTAATAATGTAGAATTGGAACATTCATAATACAATGAAAAAGAGTTACATCGAGGCTCTACCAATGTCTATGAACAATTTATTCGTTCTTTGGTGTTTGGTCACCCATAGTTGACCAAATTGTTATTTAACCTGCTACGGTCTAAAATTTTAAAGATATGGATATTATATATTGTTATTTATTTTCTATTTTTTGTTTCGTATCTTGGTTACTGATTACTATTGAAATAATAGAATTTACTATGAAACTTACGAGTTATGATAACTTATGAGCTACGATAGTTATGGTTTTGGTGTTGGTACTCGGTTACTCATCCACTGTATTAATAATTCGTTTTCATCATTATTAAAGCATACTTTTTGCCTGTAGTTTAATAAGTCTCAAACTTCCAGGATAGCCCAACATCATGTATTAGAAACATTCATCAATAGTGGTACTTCTCAAAACTTCAGTCATTGGAACAACAGAGAGGGAGAAGGGGGAACAATATTTATGATGTTATTATTCATTGAACCCTCATGGAGCCATTTAATACTTTTACCACAATTAATTCTATGAATGATGCATTTCAAAGCGGAACTTCAAACTCATTAATCACTAAATCTAATTTTTGGGGTTTGCCACTTTTACAGTCCACGAACGAGAAGCAAAGTCTTAAACTAGTTTACCAAGTAATAAAAATTAATAAGTTAAAACAAGGCACACTGAGACATTTGCGTCCCCTGCCCCGCAACAGTTCAGTAAACTTATCCCCTGTGGCCCTATGCCAGCTAGGGCAGCTGCGGGCACACAGCTACCCAAGGGCGCCACGTGCAGTACCTCAAGGTCGGTTATCGAAAACTTATTGACAGATCCCGTTGCCTTTTTCGCGCCTCAAGAAGTGAAAGGGGAGGTGGTGAGGGGTGCAAGTGGTCCTTGACATGCCTCAGCACTCTGACAGAGCCGTGCTCAGATTATTGAGATTATCCTTCATTTCCAGAATCTTGTGACGAATAGCACTTCACCACACGTGAATTGAGTGTGTAATTTAATTTTATACTATTGAGTGAAAAGGTAGAATACATGCTGAAATATGCTAGAAGGTGTTGAACGCAATCCCATACCGCCGAAGTATGCAATTTCGTTTGCGTTTAAGCAGTTTCATAAAAATTCCGAGCTCTTCTTATGACCTAACAGGTGAAGAAAATACACGGGATGAATGGCACAAAGTACTAAATAATTTTGAATTGAATTGGCTCTTGGGAATATTCCATTTAAGGTTTAACTGGATTGAAAGACTAAACAATTTCGTGTTATTTATTGTCATCAATTCTGTCTCGTTAACATACACGTGTTTAATGAAAGAAATAGTCTTCAACATTTTGTCATGCTTTTTCTTTGTTCTTTTCTACTGAATGCACCAAGGGCAATACTGAGGGATGTGAACAAGACAAACCACATTACTTTTCGCTCGGATTTACATCAGGTTATTTTATAGGAGTTTTATGTATTTTGTGTATGTGACGAGATGTTTCGTAACTGAAATAATCCTGAAAATGAGTAATGCCACAATTGGAAACGTTTTTCGAAAGGGAGACGAAGAACACGGCCTCTTTACAAAAGAGGGCGAGAGGTTGTCGTGTCTGCTGGAGAGTTGCCCGCCGCGGCCGGCCAGGCGGGGCACCCCTGGCGGCAGATGGCGCTGGGTGCGGAGTGGCCGGTGCCGCGGGAGGAGTGGGGGGCGGAGGGGTAGGCGGCGGCGCGCGGCGGCGGAGCGGAGCGGAGCGGGCGCCCAGTTGCGATGTCGACGGCGGCAGAGGCGGCGCCCGCCGCGGCAGAACTGCTTCGCCAGCTGCTGGGGCCCGCGGCGCCGGGGGTGGCGGGCGCGGGGGTGGGTGTGGGCGTGGGTGGCGGCGTGGCGCCGCGGCCGCGCGCGCGCCAGGAGCTTCGCACGCTGGAGCTGTGGCGCGCCGTCATCTCCGAGTGCCTGGGCGCCTTCTTCTACGTGCTGATCGTGAGCGGCGCCGCGGCCTCCGTGGGCTCCGGAACGGGAATCGGAGCCTCGGCCGCCGCGCCGCTCGCCGCCACCGCCGCCGCGGGCCTCGCCGCCGCCGCGCTCACCACCTGCTTCGGACACATCTCCGGTGAGTGCTTCCCATTCGCTGTGTGTGTGTGTACGTGTGTTCCCTAGAAGGCACGGCTTTTGTTAATTTAATCCTCGACATCGACCTACGTGTTTTCTTCAGATATCCAACGCTTGGTCAATTTCCGTCCTTCTCACGAACGAACACAAGTGAAGTTGCGGTTTCTCAAACGTAAGGCTGGATCCACAACATGTGTCAGAATGGGGGAAGTGATCGGTTCGGATCCCTCACATAAATTCGTTGAAGACAAAGTGACATTTATAGGAGGTGAATATTCGGTCACTCTGACTTCATTCGAATACTCTTTTGGATTGGCCCAATAGGTTTACATCTCCATATCTTCAAAGAGGGCACAGTTATCTCTGACGTTTGTATTAGTTTTGTTCCGAAGTCGATTAAAAGAGCCAAGCCTCCATGATTCCTTCGAAGCGAGGAAGTTGTGGTTCGCTGCAATCATCCCTGCAAGTGTTTCCGGGCTTACAGAATAAATATTAGGCAGAAGACAAGATAACAAATTGCAGAAACACAAACATATCATTTTCTTGTCTTTAAACGTGATTTCCCCAGTAACAGGCATTCTACCGAAGAAAGTGCAGTATCGGCGACATACCTTGGCAGTTTTCTCACATTCCAATATCATGCATTCTTCGCCATCATAAAAGTATTCATAACCAATGTTTCCCAATTAAATTTAGCAACTAAATCAGCCGAAACTACACCGCCTGCGAAGATTCTGCATCTTTTCAGGTGTTAGAGCTGTAATAGGAGATTAGTAGAGCTGTAATAGGAGAGTAATAGAAAAGATGATTCGCAGCAACTAAGAATTCCGGGAAGTTAAATTCTTTCCTACTTGAAGTGATGTTAAATGATATTGACTGTTGGCACTCACTCCTGATGACTCAAGCCCAAACAGTTTGCCAACTGTTTCTTCCTCGCTCTGGTTATTCAGTAACTCGCTTTCTACGCCTTTTAAAATTAATTCAGCTTGTACAGAATACATTTCAATCTTTTGGGATTCATGGATTTCACGTATGGTGGATGAAATTTATTACGAGAAAATAAAGCGAAATATTAACATTACACCAAAACACAATAATAATGAAATTATTAGAGCTGCCAAAAAGTTTATTAATGCACCCTTTCAAAATGACTTTATTTTCATTGCTCAGCGCATTTGGTACTAAAAATATTTCTTATTTCGTAATTATTACATTTCTTATTCACAAAATGAAATGGGATGAAAGTTTTACCGAGAGTTAAAATAAAAAATACATAGTGAATTCCTACTACAAAAAAATAAATACCTTCTCAAATGATTGTTCTGCGCTTGAAACGTTCAATGAAACCAGCTGAAGGCAATCGTTTCAATTTACGAGACAAACTTTCTGATATGTGGGTTTTCAATCAATCCTGAAATGCAAACCGCTTTTCCAAAGTTACGTTTTTGCGGTAGCGAAATGGGAACTTCAAGAAAGTGAAATCATAATACCAACAACAATAATATTAATAATGTCTTCAATAGTTGAATTTTGTTCCCTGCTATTGTAAACTTATCATTAAACTAATATATAACTGGACATTTAAAGAGTTAAGAACAATTATGCTGCTCGAGTCCACGAGTGTGTAGTATACACGCTGTCTGCACACTTTTTCTTGATGTTCTTTGGGGCCTTTCAGGTTAATAGAAGAATAAATTAATGTTTTGTTGAGTTGCACTTCACTTTAGTGCTCTTCAGTGTAACAATCCTGAATCATGAATTCCTTGGAATAGTCAAAAGGTGTATCGTGTAAAATCAGCAGATTCTCAGTACACAAGAACCTGGGCAGCAGTAAAATAATAGGATTTGGAATTCTAATTAAAACGTCTTCCCGCAAGGGCACCAAAACGTTCTAAGCGCGCCGTGCCGGGCTGAGCTGGTGTATCGAGAAAGATGAAGCGCGACTAAGCCTGCAGTACGCGCCAGCCTCCGCGTCGGGTCCAGTGACCACCCTACGCGCGGCCCGCTGGCCTCCCGCCGGGCCCGCCTCTCCTCTCCTCTCGGGCCGGCCAGCCAGCGTCTGGGCGTTGGCGTTCTCCAGACGCTCGGACAGATACCGAAAGAGGCGAGGCGAGGTCGCAGTGTTTCTTGGCCCGCGGCGAAACAGGTATCTGCTTCTTTATGAGGCTCGAACTGCCGGCCCGCCGCTTCACGCTGGGCCGCGAGTGGAGTTTGTTGCACGCATTCTGGCCGCGGGAATGGCATTCGACTCCCAGGAGCGCCTAACGAAGCCGCGTGCCGCGGCGTACTTCGCGTGAAGCGGGAGGCAGGTGGCCGCTTCTTCGGCCGGCGATGCGGCGTGGCTGGGCAGGAGGGGAGGGGAGGGGGCGCGTACGCGGGATGGATCGCGCGACTAACCGAAGCCGCTGTAAACGATGTAGTGCGGATCACAGGGAACAGGAACAATCACGGGTGCTACGCGCTTCCCAGAGGAGCTGTGTGAACTTGGGATGTTAGGTGGACGTCGGCGGCCCGTTGAAGCAGGATTTCGTTGTGTGGGTTCGAGTGTTTCCGACAGGTGCGAGGGCAGTTGCTTCCGGTGCACTCCTTCCGGTCAATGCCATCCGCGGTGACCCGTGGCGGAGGGGAGGGGAGAGGGAACGAAAGGATTAAACCACTTGCGCGCTTTGTGTGCATGGAGAGTGCAGAAGACAGAGCTCCGTTGCATGGTTTTTGCGATATGGAAGAGAAAAAACACATTCGAGCTTACAAAAAACATGGGACTCTCACAAGCCGGGCATTGTTTTAATAATTTTGTATTGTTACTGATCGTACTAAGCCATCGAAAATCATGAAATTCTTTTTAACGTACATAATGCCCTTTTCTGACGTGCAAAACATACATCCTTAAAACTAAAACTTTTCCTATACTACATCAGTGGAACCTTGATTTTTTTTATCCCTCTCTTCATTTCTAACAGAAATAACGTTATTTATGCAGTTCCCTAAAATCTTTCATCGTTAAAATTACTGTTCTCTTGGGGGGCTTAGGATAACAGATATTGTGGAGCAAAAAAGCAAATGCTTAGAAACAAGAAACCGATCGTATTATTTCTATGAATTTGATTTTTTTTACTAAAAAGTCTAAGGCGTAGTAAATTTTAATAAAACAAAAACTTATACGCCTTTTTTGTTTAAAACAAATCAAATTTCTATTCGAAGATTGTTGCCCTGCAAACCATAATGGCTCAGTCGAAATATTCAACCCGTAAAGCATTTGGAAGAAATATGACTCCATTGCTGCAATCGCCCTAGGATGCTAGAAGAAATGTCTAAATCTATACATCAGCCTTATAAAAGTCAGTGAAACAACTAAGAGCAAACGTCCTCCATGATGTTCCAAGTAACAATTGGGCGTACGCTGCCTAAAAAGAGAGGGGTCAACATTTCCGGGCGGTCTTATCCATTAAACGATTCATTTACAAACACTTCTAGAAGTAAGACCATCTTAGAGACACCCGTTACATTGATTTTTTTGAGGACCATGGAAGTGGGCAGTAACCGAAAAACGACGGAAAGACTCTTTAACATCCTCCAATTCTAATTAGGTTGTACCTATTGTACTGAAAGTATATGCATATAAGCATAAAAATAAATTAATTTGAAATTGTACTTGTACTAGAACGTAATTTTTTGCACATTCTTGAAATGTATTCTGGAAAACTTTGTCGTCCGTCCGTTTCACTGAAGGTTTTCGCACACGATGCACAATTTTCACATTTTTTATAGTTTGGGAAAAACGATTTTTTCACATATTTCTTACCACACGCCACACTGCGCTCAGTGTAACAAGTCCGCTATGTGAGAGAGAGTGAGTAAAATAAGCTCGTTGAGTTTACTTATATTTCATAGAATGGAAAATATAAAATCCATTCAAAATGTGAAATTATTTTGTACACTTTGGAATATATATGGACTATTTTTTAAAAGTCATAAATAAACAAACTAAATTTAATTATTGGAAATTAGAAAGTCAAAAGGCTAATGACTTCAACTCAACACTTTAACTACTGAGTAAAAAGAGTGTTTTTTCTCTCGATTTTATAACCTTAGACAATAAGCTAATAATATTTGCTCAAACGTATACAGTACTGTGCTACAGTACATATACTTGCCACTTAACAAGATACAAACTGCATCCTTCCGTCTCTTTATCGTTGTTAATTTTAAAGTGTATCTTTACGTGAAGTTCGTAATTTTTAATCCGGGATTTAACATATCTACGAAATTAAAATATTTCATAACGAAAGGGTATCGGGCCTCTTTCAAAATTTTCAGGGGGGAAGGCATGCATATGGGGCCTCCAGCAGTCCTCTCCACGCACGCTTTTGCAAGTTAAGTAGAACCTTGGATCGCGAACATAATCCGATCTAGCAACGTGCTCGTAATCTAAAACACTCATGTATCGAAGCGAATTTACCTATAAGAAATAGTTATTGAAGTGATGGTTCGTTCACAATACAAAACTATTAATTCACATACGAGTAGAATGATTAATACAAACTGTTCTGGGCCTTTAATATAAAATACCTAGATGCACCTTACATTGAGGAGGACGATAGAGTCAAGATGAAAAAAAAGAGTTAATTGTTTAGCAGCAGTCACGTATTAACTTGCTGGAATTGTTTCGTGTCACTTTAACTGAGGAAATATCCAAAGACTGTTGCTTTGGTCTCGTTTCCAGGACGTCACGAAAATGTGACATTACATTGCCATTGGAAATATCCAATGCTCCCACTGCGACAGCCTTATTCGGGTAGTGTTTCTCTGCAAAATGTGAGTGTGAGAAACTCGCTGTAAGCACAATTCCGCAGCAGGGTGGAAGGGGAGAGCGGAGCCTAATCAGTTCCACTCGAATTGCAAAGTATCGTGTTGAAATATGTTGAAAGTGTTTGCTCTTCTGCGTTTGAGACTGAGCGGCTTGGCTTCCCGCAGGGGCTCACCTGAATCCAGCGGTGACGGCGGCGCTGGCGGTGGCGCGCCGGGTGACGCCGCTGCGAGCGCTGATGTTCGCCGTGGCGCAGTGCGGGGGCGGCATCGCCGGCGCGGCGCTGCTCTACGGGTGAGTTGACTTCGTCGCTCCTTCCTTCGCTTCAACTTCTTTCGCATCGGCAACTCTTAAAAAAAAAAAGCAGGTACTGGGCTTTGAATTTAGCTTTTTGTGCATTACTCGCCCACGAATTTCACGGAGAAGTGAAGCTTTGTTGAATTGGACCGAAGTCCTGAATGTGATTTCAACCACTCCTTTGACAATTCATGTAGTATTCTTTGTGAATCACCCTCCCAAGGGTGGTGAGTAAACCCTTGCTATGTTTTTAATCTCCACCACTGTTTCTTTTAGATAACGTGAAACTAAAATACAATTAGATTCTTAAAATATGAAACGATCACTTGGAAGTGTAGCATTGTCCGAGTGCTCTCCTTAAAAAAGAAATTCATAAGTAACTTGAATAGTGATTGCATGTCGTAATACTATTATTATAATAAGCATATTGCGACCCCGTTAACAGAATCGGTTCGTCTTTAAGATGGTTCTAAATATCCCGAGGTATACAACAAAAGCATATGGGTTTTCGGCTAGTACTTATCATTATCTACTACCAATTAAAACAAAGGCCCGTTCCCAAGAAGTTTTCTTGGGAAACATCGCAAACTGTAAACAAAAACTTATCACGGCGTCTTTAGTAAACCGAAATTCGAATGTTAGATAGTCCACTTCCTCGCGATAAGAAAGCCTGCGTTCGCCGGGTCGCAGCGAGTGACCGCGTGACAAACGCCTCGTCCGGCCCGAGCTCCCCCTTTGTGGGCCGTGGTGAGTCTCCCAGAAGGGGAAGGGGGCGGGGGGCCTAATCTCGGGGGGCGCTGGCTCACACGCGATGCCCCTGGAGCGCCGCCCCCCCTCCCCCTCCCCCCCCGCGCTGGCGATCCGTTCGGTGGGAGCGGACGGGGAAAGTATTCGGTGAAGGAGCCTGGAGTGCGATGGGCTCCTCCATCACTCGTTGGAGCCCGTGCAGGCGTCACAGCCATCGCCACTACGCATCCCACGAGGATTACTCGCGTCCACGAGGCCCGCTCCATAAACCGTGGCCAGCTAATCGGAACGAATGTGTGATTACTCTTCGGGCGATGTTATGGCTGAAACTTCGGATTGTTATATTGTCGCTGTGTTATGAATAGGGGGTATTAATTAATTTTGTTCAAAGAATTGGTTGCCCGGGACTCGAACCCGGGCCTTCTGGTTTACGCGCAGCAACCAAGACAACCAATCCTTTGAACAGTTTCCGCGAGCGCGATTATCGCTCCTTGTATATAATATTGCCTAATTATATATAGAATAGGGTGTATTGTACTTTAATGTAACGGTAGATTTTCATCTCAAAATTCAGCTGTAATATCGATTTCTAAAAGTGTTGGAAATTAAAAATTCACCAATCCCTTGCCGTAATTTTTATTTTTCTACTGATACATCAACATCGGAGTACCTAATTAAACTAATGATAATTTAATATTTATACTTAATTATATGCTAATTTATTTAATATATACTTGTAACGTGTACGTATAACCTAGTATATATTAAATAATTCAGCACACTGACTAATAATTTCTTTGATGCAATTACTGATTACTCGTCAACAAATTCAAGAAAAAAAAATTGAGAAAAGAACAAGCCCCGTGAAATATTAAAATGCATAAATAAAAAATTAAATAAGTACTTACGTCGTAATGAAATGAAATACAAAGTAATGGGGATTATGTTTGCCAATTGTCACAACAATAATTGTTCTGAAAATGTATTTGATCGGTTGAGAGTAATGGACTGCGAACCAGTTTCCGTAAGCTCTTGAGTCCGACAACTACTCGTGACTACCGTCGACATACGATATAAGAAACAAGAATTGATCCGAATGAACATTCCTGCCGCCTTGATCTTCACGAAGGGTCTCCTGCAAGGAGTGGGGAATGCCGTAAGCCGTTGACCCGAAACATCATTAACACCGGAATGTGTACGTAGCTGAACAAGATGGGAGGGAAAGACAAGCAGTGCATCGGATATACATAAACAGTAGCAGAGGTGAATATAAACAGTTTACATTTCGTGAGCGCATGGTGAGAAAACATTCCGTGGGTAAGAAATTTCACACGTGTATGTTCACATGGCAGTTGTGAAGTGCTTGTACAGTTATGAGTTCAAAGGTGAGCATATTTAACTACGCAATAATGAATCTCAGGTTTGAATGAGGAAATGAGTAAGAACACAAAAACATGACCACATTAACTTTTTACTAAGTACTGACAACTTTTTATTAAGGATTGTATGACATTGGTATGGCATTTAGAGCTAACATTGATTGTCAATTCTAGGACTAGGTTGCTGTATAGTTTAGAGATTTTTTATCAAAACTAACGTTCATTGCATTAAGCAGAAATATCTAGTTTAGGCATATTTCATTCACAGAAACTTCACGAATTCCATTTTTTTAAAAATTCCTATTATCATTTCGGGATACCATACCCTTTTGTAGTTGCCAAACATTTCTTAACATTTCGTTTAATATACTCGTACTATCAACGACCTTCAGGAACTCCCCACTTACATTACTCTATTGTATTTGTATCAACAGAAAATGAAAGGAAGAAGAACTTTTGCCTTATTGTAGTTTCAGTTCCTAATTTTCGGATGAATTGACCACACGAATATAGTAGTATAAATATTTCGATTGCGTGATAATGATTACGTCGTTACTATCCTTTTTTCTGGTGGTCATCCCAACAAGCTTCAGGTACCTCTTCCCGATGAACTATTTTTTTCACATTTCATGTTTATATAATTTTTACAAAACTTGTCAACGCTTTAACGATTCTTCCATTTATAAAAATGTTGGCTGTATATTCACTTTCATTTACATTCTCTTTTACGCTTGAACCCTAAAAAAGACAGATGGTGATACAGTCGATACAGTCAAAAGAATATATTGTCACAAGGAAAGCAATAACAAATTATTTAGATTTTGAAGAATCGAGAATCTAGTGAAAATCTCTCAAACCTTATTACATGACGAATTCTCTCAACTGAAGATTTTCAGTTTCTGCCAATAACACCATTAAAAAACAACAAAAAACACGAAACAAGCCATCTGCTCGCAAGTTTATTTTTTTGTTTTTTATGGATGCATCTGTACCAAGCGGGTTCCAACCACAAGTACTGCCGGAATTTGATTTGGTAATGGCTTATGATATTAATTCGTATTTCCTTAAGGCATTTAACCATATATACTCAAATTTCGCTATAAATAGCTATATTTGTCCATATAATGCCAAATGCCCTAAGAAAGTATATTCAAGAAAGTTGCGGACAAGTAAACATTTAAGTAATTCATTTTGATAAAGACGCTCGCATCATCGTACGTCACTTGTGAAACATGTTATGCATTCAGTGTACTTAATAGGGTGTAAGTGAAGAATGCGAGTAATAAGAGACACTCGGTGCGTTTCCCCCTCGTTAGTGTATTAGGAAAACAAAAGGAAGCAGTCGCCGAGGGCAGCCCTAGCGGCCGCGCCGCAGAGATCGAACGCCATCTGCGTGGCCGGCGAGACAAAAACTGGTTAAATATCCGTTTCCAAATGCACAAAGCGGCGAGTGCGTGTGTCGGCGCGCACGTGTCCTTCGCCCCGCTGGGGCTCGTGGGCAGCCCTGGCGCCGGGGCCAGGTGCCGGGGCGGGCGGAGGGGGAGGCGGTGCG